ATACTGTAATTATTATAAGATATTCAGAATAAACAAGAGGTCTTGTGACCTTATTATATGGATAACACTTGTTTTCCCGTAATGTGGAAGTTTAAATAGATTACCAGCTCCAAAATGGACAATATCCGTCGCATCCACCTCTTCTACCGTTCCTGAAGGAAAACTGAAAAAAATAGCTCTTGTTATTCTGAGGAATTTGCGCACTTTAATAAGATTGGAATATTCTCACGATTCTTACGACCCTGTGCAGCCTTGGTTTAATACTATTTGGTACGCCAGAGGGCTCTCCCGGTGGCATCCTCCCCAACTCTTCAAAACAATCCCGCTATTTCTTTCCTACAGCTAATAATAACCTTGTTTAGATATCCGGAATGATTCAATTATACCCACTGCCATTGTCTTTAACCTGGGGTAGATTCTTTCCAGAAGTGAGTCTAGAGTGTTAAGGTAAAAGTTGTTGGAACCCTGTTCTTGGGTTAATTAAATAACAAATAATACTCAATTATTATAAATACAAATTAGATGAATAAAGAGGTTATACAAATCTTGTGTCAAAAGTAACCTTGTTACTCTACAATGTACTCTCTTAAATAGTGAATGATTGATATGGTGTGACTCAGTAACTCACACTACTCTGCTCTGACTAATAGTTAAAACACATTTCAATACTAAACTAAACAATGTCTTTTTTACTATTAGATTAAACTACTATTAAATTAAAACTACTACTCCTGATGATGATGTTCTTCTTACTATATGAGGGACTTCTGAATGATGAGGACTTCAAGTAAAACTGGAACTGATAACTATAAAAACAAAACCCTGGGGGAAAACTACCGTGAGTAAAGTGAAAGGTAATCCACGTGAAACTATAAATGAAAGTGAAAGAGGAAGCGGGAACTCCTAGACTAAACTACTAAACTATAACTATAAACTACTTACCACTCTTTCCACGTCACAGAACACAGATAGTATCTGTCGACTGGAATCTGTGGGATCACTAAAACAACGTCACTCCTCTCCCTTCTGCTACGCTAGAGTCTGGAGTCGACAACGTCACTCCTCTCCCTTCTGCTACGCTAGAGTCTGGAGTCAACTAAACACTGGACACTCCTCTCTCTTCTGTTACTTCAACTAGAGTCTGGAGTCGAGCCTTGTCTGCCTTCTGGAGTCCCTTTACCCCAACACTGTATATACAATCACTGGAACTAAACTTTTGCTAAAGTGAGATACCTACAGGGTTAGTAATATGAAGTACAAAAACAAGCTACAAATAGAATTAAGATTCTAACAAAAGTTGTCAAACGTCTATTTATAATTGACGGGAAAACACGTACTGGAACGTATGATGTAAATTTAAATACTCTATAATTCTATCATTTTATAATTCTATTATTTACAGTCACTGGTCTGTAATCATGATAAGTTTGAAGATCATATCAGTTCTATTTGATTATCATTTGTATCTTTCGCTCTTTAATAGTCAGTTATTAGTCACTTTACGTATCACAACAGGACTTTTGTAGCGCATACCGGACTTGTGTAGCGCATACCGGACGTTAGTAACGCGTACAGGAAGTTAGTACCGCGAACGGAAATCGAATGGTCATTTTTTATGGATCTAATCCTATTCCTGCTTGATTAATTGATACATTTATTTCATCTTCTCATTTCGGTTTCGTTTCCTATAATTATAAAGGTCACCATAAGGTATTACCACTGACTCTCCCATATTATGACGACTCTGCACGTGACTCATCATTAGTGGTCACTGGTCACGTGTAGTGATGACGCGGTAATGATATCATAGAATCTTATTAGTCCATGATCTCTCTCTCTCCTTCTGTAGTAAAATCTACATCCTACTGCCTCCAAATTGGGTGTGCTCATCCTGGCCCCTGCATTCCATACCTGCATAGTGTGTTACTTTTCCTGTTGCTACATGGTGGTGTCACTATTGTGAAATCTGTTCTTATTCGGACATTTTTGGATATTGTATTAGTTTGAAAGTCTGATAGCATATGTTCTGTTAGATTTTACCAAACTAATGCCTTTCATTGCTTTATTAGTTTATTAGTTTAGTGAGATTCTGAATTCTGTATTCCGTACCTGTAATTTTACTGTGTTTGCAATGTTTTACTTTTCATAGCTTCTGCAGCATTATAACGGTGTTCTCTGCTTAATTATTGGGCAATCTGTTCGGTTTTTAAATTTCACTAAATGTGTTCTCTTCTTTTTGCTTCTGAAGATATGCATGAGATTTTGAAATTGTTCCATGTTGGTACACCGATTTAAATATATTAATGGAATGGCTGATTCTTTCGATACGCTGAAAATTCATGTGACATAACGACACTGTAATCCTAATTAACCCTTCCGCAGATTTTATCATCCTCAAAGTATGATTTGGCAGGATATAAAGGTATTGTCTTACCTGCACGTAATGGAATTTGTTGTACCCTTTATTAATCCCCGAATTCTAACATTCCTTTGTCACCTTCCGTTATACTGGATCGTTCCTCTGATCTCCGTATTGGATCCACAGTTGTACACCAGTTAATGTTCTATGTGCTCAGTGCTGGGTTGCTGTATAGTTTGCTGTTTTGTGTCACCAATTTGTTTGTATCACCGATTCTCCCGGAAATTGCCGAAATATTTCGAAAATGAGTTAAGCGCCGTTATCGAATTTGTCGTCTATAATAATTCTGGGTCCACTAACGTATCTCCACTAACATACTATTGACATTCTGTCCGTTAAATAACCTCGCTTTAATATTAATTATTCTCCATTCCCTCTGTTTATAGCTCCACCAGTACAGTCACCTGTGAACCAATTTTAAACCTATTATAAACCAGTTGAAGACGATTTACACATGTATTTTGAAAGCTCCTGCTTAATAAACATTTCGTATCACTTATAATAAGTTTTAAATGACCCCCTTCTAACATATCATGAACCTACTATAAACCTCCCTCTGTCACCTCTTTACCTCCACCATTTAGCTTACCACGTAGTCTCCACAATGATATTGCTTTACAAATCCTAACTATTTCCCGAGTCGCTTCCACTGGTAGTTACTGGTAGTTACTGGTACTGTACTACTGGTAGTTACAGTACTAGTTACAAGATTGATGGTAAATGGAGGACTATTTAGCGTTGAACTTAGTAGTAGTTGCACAATGCACAACTGTCGCTGTAATGAAGTAAGGATAATTATATGTGCGACACACCTCCTGGTATGACCAGGCATTTACTTATATTGTATTACTATAAAAGTTGTAAAAGCTTTTACTAGCGTGGTCCACTATTATCCCAATATATATAAAAGTTACTTCCCCTAAAAGTTACCACTTAAAGTTGAGGTTTGTGAACAACAATTTAGAGGTTTAAGTTTGACTGTTGGTCGACTCTGCCTTTGTTTTGAATTTATAAAACTTCTCCTAGGCCCATATCGTGATAAAACTTGATCTTATAATAGTTATAACGTGGCCTCATCGTACAAAACAATATGAGCCTTTCATTAATAAACGAGACGAGGTCTTTTTAATTATCTAATCATAATGTTGCTAGGGTTTTGGACTAGTACAAGTTTAATCAACCAATCAGCTTGCAGCATGTACCAATAAAATCCCATAGTGAATGTCACGTGCCAAAACAATGTTGGGGGGGGGGGGGGGGGGGGGGAGGAGCATATCTTCTTCTACCCATATATCCAGTTAAGCGACCTGGCTCTCAAAATGTCTCGAGATAGTGTAGAGTAACAACAGTAAAATGTCGTCTGGTCTAGTGGTATCTAGTAGTACTGGTCTAGTAGTATAGCTAGATGCTAGATTAAGTAGTATTGCTCTATTATAGTAGTAGAATACTAGATTTGCTATAGTAGTTGTATATCAGTCCAGTAAAATCGACCAGTGGGTCCCCCTCTGTTGTGATCAAGAATGTATACTATTTGTTGCTTGCGATCCAAACTATTAACAGATCTCCATACATGATACGAGAAAGAGAGAGACTGTTATAGGCGTGATGATCTCTGGCAGGTTACATTGGTGTCTCCTGTATTACAGTTTGTACATCGGTTTCTGGGGCTTGTCTCAGTTCTTATCAGGCTACATTGTTGTCTCCTGTACAGTTTGTACATAGGTTTCTGGGGCTTGTTTCAGTTCTTATCAGGCTACATTGTTGTCTCCTGTATTACAGTTTGTACATTGGTTTCTGGGGCTTGTTTCAGTTCTTATCAGGCTACATTGGTGTCTCCTGTATTACAGTTTGTACATAGGTTTCTGGGGCTTGTTTCAGTTCTTATCAGGCTACATTGGTGTCTCCTGTATTACAGTTTGTACATTGGTTTCTGGGGCTTGTTTCAGTTCTTATCAGGCTACATTGTTGTCTCCTGTATTACAGTTTGTACATTGGTTTCTGGGGCTTGTTTCAGTTCTTATCAGGCTACATTGGTGTCTCCTGTATTACAGTTTGTACATTGGTTTCTGGGGCTTGTTTCAGTTCTTATCAGGCTACATTGGTGTCTCCTGTATTACAGTTTGTACATTGGTTTCTGGGGCTTGTTTCAGTTCTTATCAGGCTACATTGGTGTCTCCTGTATTACAGTTTGTACATTGGTTTCTGGGGCTTGTTTCAGTTCTTATCAGGCTACATTGGTGTCTCCTGTATTACAGTTTGTACATAGGTTTCTGGGGCTTGTTTCAGTTCTTATCAGGCTACATTGTTGTCTCCTGTATTACAGTTTGTACATTGGTTTCTGGGGCTTGTCTCAGTTTTTATCAGGCTACATTGGTGTCTCCTGCATTACAGTTTGTACATTGGTTTCTGGGGCTTGTCTAGGTCTTATCAGGCTACATTGGTGTCTCCTGTATTACTATACAGTTTGTACATTGGTTTCTGGGGCTTGTCTCAGTTTTTATCAGGCTACATTTTTGTCTCCTGTATTACAGTTTGTACACAGGTTTCTGGGGCTTGTCTAGGTCTTATCAGGCTACATTGGTGTCTCCTGTATTACAGTTTGTACATAGGTTTCTGGGGCTTGTCTCAGTTCTTATCATTGATTACGGGTGTTAATGGTATGAAGTAATGATGATTAGGGTGTGTTCTAAGCGTGATTCTTGTCCTGTAGTCTGCAAATTGGTCGTGGATCTCTTGGTAGGTACCTAGGCCTAGGATATAGGAGTGTGTTTCAGACTTTAGTTCTTATCAGTTAAATTAGTGATAATTAGTGTTAATTGGGCAAAGTGGGGTTGAAACTTGTAAACATTTTTCATACGGCTACTTGAAAATGTCCCTTTCATTCACTGTTGTCCTGTAGTATACATTTTGATACAGTTTTAGAGGCTTTCTTTGTACGTGGAGGTATTTGTGGAATGCGGCTTATTGACAATTACTCGATCTCTTAATTGGGTCAACAGTTTTTGTGTTTACGTTCAGACTTCAGTCCTCTCATTCTCTCCTTGTGTTTCTGATCTGTTGAACTGCTGATACGGGCCTTTTTAATGACGTTTTATCGATGGAGCAGATCCTCCTTCGGCCGGGAAAATACTACAAAGCCTGTCAAAGGTAAGACTTTGGTTACCTAAGTTTTATATGTTTAGCAATTCTACACTTCTAACTAGCTTCATCTCTGTGCCTGGATGTGACAATGTTTTAAGGGCCCAACACTCACCTCACTCAGTTGGTGGAATGTATTTGGGTTTTTTTACGATGTTGTAGCAAGGACATAACTTCTTGTAGGCTAGCAACAGATATAACACGATTCTTGATATCTCTGGCAAGCCTAGAATCTCTTCATACGATAGAAACATTTGAGGGCTACAAAAGCCGCTTCTTTCTTCACTCTCTTAGCTGTACAAAAGTAGCTCAATGGAGCTGGTAATTGTTGATACCAAAAGCCTCTACAGCTCTAAATAAATATCAGAGCTTTCCATCCTCTGGCAATCAGCCCATGTATAAACTCTATGTTCTAGCGTGCTTCTTTACGAACTACTTGGTCACTTAATTAGTTGCTCTCGTCACTCAAAAGTAATTAGGAGAACTACAAATTTAAGAATATTCCGCATAATATGGCTCATTAATAATCTGTTAAACTATTGCTGCAAGCTGCAGGGTGTGATAATATCGTTGGAAAATATTAGAATACTCTTCTCCGGACGAATAGAATTTCCAAAACTAATAATAATATTATTAATGATTTCCAATACTAATAATGGGACTAATAATCTCTCAATCAGTCACTTTGTTATTGTTATATTGTGACGTTTCGTGACGTTGGATACTTTTTAATTTGTTTAAAATTGTTGCTAATTAGTTTTGGGAATTCGATACCGTCCGTTAAAATAAATGAAATTATTGTACTGACATTTCCCGTTTAATCTTCCTCAAAATCGTTGAGATGGCAGATTATATTGAATTTTCAATAAAAGTAATCCACAAAGAAAGTATAGGTGACAGCAGCAGGCTACTTCACTCCATGTTCCGGCACCATATTAACCTAGTTATTGGACTTTCCTTTGTTCCTTGAAAAGTTCCTGTTGAAACTTGTCCCACTGTAAGGACTTGATCGGGAGCCAGGATTTCCGGACTGCTTAGTTGCCATTTAAAGATGTGTGTTTAGCAGTCATCAAGAAGTTGCAGAGTAGAACAAATCAGCAGTTGAACATCTTGTACGTGGCTTAGCTACAATTACTAGAACTTTATTCGATCCAGACTAATCAGTCATAGTTGACTTCCTAAATAAAAACTGACGTTTCGATCGATCGCTTGAAATCCTCGTCAAAACGTCGTGGAGTCGGGAGTTGTGCTCAGTTAACTCAACCAGACTTGATTATTCAATAAATTGTTGTAAACATTCCTTTCTCAATTCTCTCCAGTCTCCACAATTGAGCCGTTCTATTGTTGATCCTGTTTTATTGCGGAATGTAAGCTACACTCAGTGCCGTAGCTCTGTGTTTATTTTGTCACAATTCCATGTAATGTTTGTTTAGGGAACCCTGTCAGGTACAAACCACAGAAAATACAAACACTGGTTCCTACTATACACTACAGTATCACTTTCTGGGTGTACGCATTGTTAAATTAGATCAGCCTCTCAGTACCCACAACTACCTATGGAGAGAGAGTTGTAATTGATATCATGGACCAACCTCATTTGTGATCGCTACAGATGGTGTGTAGATAAACTCTAAAGTCTAGATTATAAACTGTAGTCTCTCCCGCACAGAACTACACACAACAACAATTACACTCATATTATTAGATCGCTTTGTTTTGATAGACTACCTCAGGGCCTTTTGTTATCTTGTGGTCTTTTAGTTGAGTGTTTGTTTATTTATAGAACCCGTCCCCAATCTCGTACTGGAAAATGACCCAACTCAATCCTGAGTGTGAAAATGCGTGGTATCTGCAAGGGTATCGTTAGTTGAGTGGGCCGTTTAACGTTCCGGTAGAGCTCCGACACTGTTATTCTCAGATTACTTACACTTAATCTAATTCAGGCTGAGAACTCTGGATTAGTCTATAATATATTTATAGTTCAGGGCCCTTTGTTACCCAGCTGACTGTGAGTCCCTAGTGTGGCCTTGTGCTATTCTTGGACCACACTATCATTATTGGGGTTGGAACATCACTGGATCTTATTAAATATTAACTGTGTCCACTGGTATCTAGCAGGTTGTGACTTGTGACTCTTCCTCGTCAATTACACTCCATCAAGATATTATCATGATTGTGTTAATTGAGTTTGGGAACCTGGCGGGACAGGTGGTTGTTGATTGAGTCCCCTGTAATCAAAATGCGCGTGATTACCTGATGGTGATTACCTGATGGCGTCCAGGCGGTGGTAATGTAGCACACATGGTCTATGAGAGTCCCTGACTGAGAACTAAACAAAGTGTATCTTATTGACTGATATGATACACGACACGTCTGATACCTTTCCAACACAGCTATTAGAGCAGGATAGTGAGAGGAAGCAGGATAGAGCGGTGTTTATTTTCATACTTAAGTTATGACGTCCCCATTGACGTCACCACATAGTTTCTGCCCGAATACGGATGTAATGAATTTAGGGCGGGGATATCACTTACGGTAATGATGGAACGATAATTTTCGGCTTTCTCTCTTTAAACATGTTCCAGATTTTGGAAGCTTCGTCTACTTGTCAGACAGAAAGTGTCTGCCTTCAATTTCATGGAAGTAACATGAATTTCCTGCGTCAGTGATCGCTTTGGTATTTCTAACTTGAGATACTTAAATTCATTTTATCTCTCATAATAATGACTTATAAGGGTATATTAACTGTTATAATATTGTGTTGTATTATGGGTGGCATTATGTTTATAAACGTGTATAAATACACTATTTTCATCTATAAGTATATAAACGATATCACCCTAACCTTTAAAATACTAATGTTATCGTTTATTTAGAAGGAATGAAGATAGATAGTATGCCGGAGGAAGTTACATCTCCATATGCAGAGAGAAGGTTGGAACGGAGGGCCAAGTCGAAGGAGAGGGCAAAGTCACGTGATAGAATCAAACAGAGACAAGAGGCATCTTACAGTGAGTACATTAATTGTTATTATGAAGGAGAAAGTTTAACTTGTAAGTTTGTTTGTAATTTGTTTTTAGTTTGAGCCATTTTATGAAGGGGCCTACCGTAAGGAGGCCAGGAGCAAGTTTTAGTCGGTTGGGAGTTTATTTGGTGCTGGTAAGTATCAATTACGCCTTATTCATAACACTAAAATGTATGAAGGATCAGAGCACTGTAGCAGGTGCTAGGGGTTTTACCAGTCCTTTGTGGTTCCCAGTCTAGGTAGTAGGTACTGTATACTGCTCGAACCTTGTAGAGAAGCTGCGATGTAGGGCGGTGATTTTGATGACAAGCATTATCTTACATGCTAAGTGCCGGCTGATCTGCCAGATTGTTCAAGTATTTGAACTATTTAGACCGTCCCTCAGTCCACTTAACATATATCTAGATAATATCAAACAGTCAAGTAGTGAGTAGTGTACCATCACAACACTCTCTGTACTACAAGTGAGAGGTTGAATATTTAAAGGAGCAGTGTGTATCACATGACACAATACATTGTATTGTATAAAGACAGCGCTACAATGTAACCATGTAGAATTTTAGATGTGTTGTCGAGCTGGACTTTTAATAGATTTTGAAGCATGCATGTGAATGTGAAATGGATTATCGTTCCAAGCTCTCCACAGATGATCAAAAGAGTGTTCCATGTTACACTGGCTTGAAGCCATATGGAATGTGGACCACTGGATTGGTTCATTGCCAAAAGTATATCGCGCCACAAGCTGCAAGCCAAGATAATCTCATTAATCAAGGCCTACTCGCAGTGATGAGAACTTTTGGGAGTCAGCCAGCACTTTTGGGAGTCTGCCAGATTGGGTGTTGTGACTTTTAACACTAGCCCCGGGCCCGCCAAAAGCTCAATAACACATAATTATGATTAGATTATTATTAATGTTGTTACATTATATAATATCAAAATATTTGACGAATATAGAAGGGCATAATCCAGTGAGTCCACAGGAAATTCTTGACCTTTTAAGATTTTGGTTATTTGGAGCGGGATTAAATGTTGTTGTGAAACCAGCTTTTTTTTTGCCGGTACCCTTAAGGGATTTCAAGTCAACTTATAAAATCAAAAAATTCACACACCAAACAATATCTCACTCCCATCGGGCAGAAATTAACCTTTAATAAATCATAGTAAGTAAATGTATAGTCTATAGAATATGCGTATGAAAACTTAGCCTAGTTAAATAAAACCTACTGGTGAGACTTCCTTCACGATTGCTATTCAGCAATGTATGGTCCAAAAATCATCACGGGAAATTATATGAGTAACAATCCCGTTGGCCATACTTCATCAGATCTCAAAAAGTCTGCACTTCGAGTTGCTATACCAAATTTGAAATTCAGCGAAATCACGCACTTTATTCTAAACTCTTAAACTCAGCCCAATTGCACACAAATCAACAAAGAAGATAACAGATTAATCTGAGTTAATTATCTCTTATATGCATTCACTACACTCAAAACTTTTCCGTCGCTAATATAGTGATACTTCGACGGTTCAGCAGATATTTTCTCCTTTAATTGAGCTACGAGTTTTTTATGTGTTGCTTGTTCCTCTCGGTTTCTATCTGGAGCAACGAACCAGCTGTGGTAGGTTGTACAGAGGGACTTTTTCAAATGATTTGCTCTCGAGAGAGCCTCTTTCACTGATTCGTTACTATTCATAGTCACTTTGATTGGCCTCGGCCTACCATCCTCCCGTTTCTTCACACCGATACGATTAGCAGCTACAATATCAGAGTGGTTATTGTGTTGCAAAATCTTGTCCAGTACTTCATCTGCTAAATCAGCGGGGCACGTGGAGTAATCCTCCGGAACTCCGTGGACGATGAAGTTCCTGCTCCGAGCGTCGTCTTGAACAGCAGACTGTACTGCTTTCTTCACTGTCTTCAAAGTTGGAGCTTTATTGTCGCAGTTTTTCCTGGCAATTTCGCTCCATGTCTTCATCTCCGTTTTAATCTCAGTTTGAACAGTCTCCTGCACAGATTTTAGCTGCTCTCTCTGCACTTTTATCAGTTCTGACTTAACATAATCGATGGTACCGGCTGCAGATTTGCATAAAACAATGTTACTGATCAGTGATTTGGTTAAGTTCTCAATGAGTTTTGCCATTGTGTCCTTGTTACATTTCATGAGTGCTGCATGATTCAGTTCCTCAAATTTTTCAATATTGACAGCGTTCTTCGCAGTATTTGCAGTATTGACAGCTTTTAAAACTTTTTCCACTGATGAATGCAAAGCTTCCTCTTGTGTGTGTAGATCTGCTACGTTGAATTCCATTGTCAATTGTACAACAAACGGGCTGTACAGCACGGTGCTGTGTTAAAGTTGATAAAACAGCTGATAAGAGACGATTTAAACCGTTGCATAAGCTAGATAAAATGATTGCTACTGGAAAAATAATCTAAGTAGTCAGTAAGTTCTGACTTAGTACTGAGTAAGTAGTCAGTAAGTTCTGAATTAGTACCGAGTAAGTAGTCAGTAAGTTCTGACTTAGTACTGAGTAAGTAGTCAGTAAGTTCTGACTTAGTACTGAGTAAGTAGTCAGTAAGTTCTGACTTAGTACTGAGTAAGTAGTCAGTAAGTTCTGACTTAGTACTGAATAAGTAGTCAGTAAGTTCTGACTTAGTACTGAGTAAGTAGTCAGTAAGTTCTGACTTAGTACTGAGTAAGTAGTCAGTAAGTTCTGACTTAGTACTGAGTAAGTAGTCAGTAAGTTCTGACTTAGTACTGAGTAAGTAGTCAGTAAGTTCTGACTTAGTACTGAGTAAGTAGTCAGTAAGTTCTGACTTAGTACTGAATAAGTAGTCAGTAAGTTCTGACTTAGTACTGAGTAAGTAGTCAGTAAGTTCTGACTTAGTACTGAGTAAGTAGTCAGTAAGTTCTGAATTAGTACCGAGTAAGTAGTCAGTAAGTTCTGACTTAGTACTGAGTAAGTAGTCAGTAAGTTCTGAAAGAAAGACATTGTTACCTCTGAGGGGGGTATATTGACTGAACAATGAACACACCAGCTTTATCTCGCTCAAATTTTAGAATCTTATTCGAAAATTCGAGACTTTCTCACCTGTGGATTGTGGAATTACTGTGGAATTTGGAACATGTTGGACAGAGACTTGAAATTTTTGATAATAAAAAAGAATTGAAATGTAATTTTACACGGTACCATTCTTAATAGAATGTCTCCCGTGAAATGGCTGGACCCTCAATCTCACGTTACCTGGACCCACAATTCCTAATTCCTTAGCCAGGAATATCTAAATCAAATTAACAACCCCCCTCCGGAGGTCACATGATATGGGCCAGGAATTCTTTTAAACTTTTATTAAGATGATCTGCAATACTATTCATTACGGCATTAATAAGGGTCCACATCGCTGGTTATTAGAGTTCATTACTGTGCCTTTAATGTGTTGCTCCACATCAGCTATATTATATGAAACATTAGCTGTAGTGGAGATACTCTCTCTCTCTCTCTCTCTTTCTCTCTCTCTCTCTCTCTCTCTCTCTCTCTCTCTCTCTCTCTCTCTCTCTCTCTCTCTCTCTCTCTCTCTCTCTCTCTCTCTCTCTCTCTCTCTCTCTCTCTCTCTCTCTCTCTCTCTCTCTCTCTCTCTCTCTCTCTCTCTCTCTCTCTCTCTCTCTCTCTCTCTCTCTCTCTCTCTCTCTCTCTCTCTCTCTCTCTCTCTCTCTCTCTCTCTCTCTCTCTCTCTCTCTCTCTCTCTCTCTCTCTCTCTCTCTCTCTCTCTTATTATGGGCTGATTTCCATCGTGATTCTCTCTCTCTCTTATTATGGGCTGATTTCCATCGTGATAATTGCAGTGTTTATTAAAAAAGTGAAGCACTTTCTCGCAGGAGCTGTAGAATGTACACGTTTCTTGGCCACATACCAGCCAGCTCCCACATTGTTGTTCTTAACATTCCAAAGGTCATTCAGTCCTACACATATCGTGTTACTACGCTCATTATACACCAGCTGTTGGCTTCAAGCCAATCAGAATGCTGGGTTTAATCCACGTGGTGTTAAGCGGCCAATCACAGGAGGTTACATGGCAACCGACCAATGGTGTGCGGTTACCAGGTGACGAACGACCAATCACACTGGGGGCTGCAAATTTTGAAGTTGTTAGTTTTGAAATGTAATATAAGTTTTAGATCCAGGTTGATGGCATGGTGTGGTGAGATCAGAGGTACTGGGTAATGACTGTGTAGTGTGTACACGATATGTTGCTGTTTAGATATAAGATCACTACAGTGACCTATTGTTGGAATGATTTACAGCTTAGATAAGGGGGCATGGTATTAGCAACTTGTAGTCAGTGGCAGTTCCCAATTCAAAACGTCATCATCATCTTGTTTTATTATTAAGTCATAAAATGTGAGTCATAAAATATAAGTCAAAAATAAGACTGGTCTGAGTCAGAGATAAGGTCGTAGCAATATCTGTGAATATCTCGATCTAAGTGTGTGAAGGAATTGCAGCAACTTTGTCATCTGAGTGAGTGATAGGGTTGTAGAAAATTCTAGATCTCGAACAGATGGGCCAGATTTTAATGGCGCGACTTTCCTGACACCTGGTACCCCCACATTATATCATAAAGTAACTGTTGTACTGTGTGATTCATTCGACCGTGAACGCTTCATCTCTAAGGTTAGGAACTGAATACTGATCCAAGTGGTTATGTACATAATATCCGGATTGGAACATTATTTCACCCGGGATCATTACCAAGTGGTTATGAACTATAGTATAACTTTATAAGTTACACAGTGAAAACCTTTAGCTGGTGCTACCCATCAGCTAGTAGTATAGAGGAAGTAGTCGAGTGTCCGGTTTGTGAGCTATGAGTGCAATTATATGTGATTTATTCTGTTTCCAACAAATTCTAGAGACTTAGAATTTCTATTTAATTTCCTCGATCTCATTTGCCAACCAGTCAACAAGGGAACAGATCAGATGTATACGTCCTGGTCCCTGGATGATTTCAATTACTGTATCATTTCAGTAATTTGATTTCACATCATCGAAATGTAACAGGAATCAATGTTATCAAACGAGGACTGAGACATATGTTACGCTTTTAATCTATGACGGTTATAATAATATGATAATATTTAATTGTAGAATTACAAACCATTCCTTATCAACCCACTATATGAACGGTTTTTGATTTTGTTTCCTGTCTGCGTTTCCCCTAGACCTCCTCTTCTTTCAGAAAGTGTCGACACATACAAAGAAACAACAAAAAAGGAAACTTTCATCGAAGTTAAAAGTTCCAGCTACACCTCATCAGAGATAAAAACCAGCTTTTCTTCATCAGAAATAAAATCAACCCGATTAGACGACATCCTGAAGTCCGTGACGACGAGCCCGGAGCCACCCCGGAAGAGCATAACCAGTCCGGAATTACCACCCCGGAAGAGTGTAACCAGTCCGGAACCTCCCCGGAGGAACGGGAAAAGTGGAGGGGAAGCTCCTCCCCCTCCTCCTCCTGCACGGACTGAGTCACGTGATATAAAGCAGATTCTAGCTACTCACAGGAGTAGACCAAGGAGACCGTTAAACGACCCTGGACGCAATCAGAATGGTAAGTTATTGTTATGGGGGAGACAGTTGTTTTCTGTTTGCGATTCTAGAATTATTAAGATTTGACAATTAAGCTGTTGAAGGAATTGAAAAAAAAGAAGAAATTATTGGTACCTTTTCCCGTGTAAGCGTGTAAAACACTGAAATCATCGTTGATATGCGAACCATATTTGATAAGATACATCCTCGAATTCACAATTATACAAGTTGGTAACGACGACTTAATTTGTTTTCCAGATCACTACAAACACTACCCTAACCATTCTTTTACCCAGGAGCCTTCTCACCTCCTCCAATGTCTCCTGAGCCAGTGAAATCACCCGGACCAACCTACAAGCTACCCAAGAAAAAAGCCACACCCAAGAAAGTAGCGGAAGCGCCTCCTCCACCCATTGTGAAGCCTGTAGCTGTGGCTACTGTTAAAGCAGAGCCTCCGCCTCCGCCGCCAATGTCTCCTCCTCCGTGAGTAGCTGTTAATATTAATTGAAACTTTTAGGTGGTTAAGCAATATTTTATGGTTAAGTAGTATTATATTAAGAAGTATTAAAACTTGCCGACACCTAATAACTTAATAAATGATCGAAGATTTGCTCTGAGATTTGCTCATAACTACTGAAGAAAATTGCTGTGGTTATAGCTGTCTCGCCAACCCAGTAAAGTGACTGCGTGATGACTGTTTAGTAGAGTCGTTGTCGTAAACAGTTGTAAACATCAGATTCGCTTGCTTCTGTAGTTTTAGAGTTTTGCTTGTATCTGGATTGCTGAATTCAATATTATCCTGTCTTGCCTCTTGGATTTGTCTTAACAGTTGATCCTCGATCTGATCTGTCCTCTTTACATAACCCCACTCAAAAGAAGCAGTATGGACTGAACTAAAAAATTTAAAATGAAATGAAATGAAAAGGAGCATTCATTACATAATATTTCAAAATCTCGATGCTCTTTTGACTTTTTACCCTCATCAGTGCAAACGTTTAACCAAATAACTTCTTAGCTGTTTTGTATAGACACGAGACTGCGATTAGCCAATCAACTCACAAATACGCCAGTAAGTGATGACTCCATTCCTAAAATTGAAAAATCCGTCCTTTAATTCCGGGAATTTTAGCCGAAGTTAGTTGGAATGCTGGTCAGATCTACTTTCTTAGACCCCACAAGTGGCGGCAACGTGCCCTGGAATAGTGCACGTGTTTGAAATTGTGCACGTATTTGTAGTATTTGCAGTTCTAATAGTGTGGCTGACATGCAATCACTGAACCTCCATCTCACTGTCTCACTGATCACGTGGGAGCCCACGTGGGGATCTCTTAGTGTTGTGTTTGGGCAGACCCCGCGGACGTTATCACTGGGACACAGCTCGCTTATTCGGTGAATTAGATTCGGCAGATAATTCCGATACATCATTGGTTAATTTAGCCCACGTGTTGGTTAAATCCGCCCACGTGTCAGCAGCACAGGGCTGTGATTGGCTCACTTCCATCACGTGGTGTAGAGTAGAGTGAGCAGAAACACAGGCCGAGAAACTCGAGTAATCTTGATGGTCAGGCTGGAGTTGATGCTGCTGCGTGATCGTCCATCGCGTGTTTAATCATTGTGATAATCATGATCTTTAATGCATTGTTGTAACTCTGATATAGACCACCTTGGTCAGATTTCTTTCTTGTCTAGAAATTCTTATATTACCACATTTTACTACGTTTTATCACATTTTACTACATGTTTACTACTATACGTGTTTTAGACGAGTTTACCTGCCATTTCACCACCATGCTCCTCGTTTTACCTCTAATTTTTACCACTGTCCGATTCCGCCCTTTTTTATCTAGTCTCGTAACAATATTTCCCACACAATTTAGTCTATGAAGAAAACCAGCAAACCATCGCAAACCAAGTTTTTCATCTTCAATCTTCACCTCAGTTTTAAATTACTGTGTATTTCTTGTCTAGAAAGTTGTATATTACCACATTTTACTACGTTTTATCACATTTCACTACATGTTTTAGACGAGTTTACCTACCATGCTCCTTTTCCACACTTTGTTTTACCTTGTAAGCAATATTTCTCACGCAGTTTACTCTATGAAGAAAACCAGCAAACCATCGCAAACCATGTTTATCATCACCTCAGCTTATTACCGTGTGTAGAACGAAGCTTTGATTTGAAATTGTCACGTACTATAAAAGTTAAAGCACACAACGCAACTGTAAACCACATGTTTCACCTCAGAACAAATCTTTGTAATTTGCACTAGACGATCTTGTGACAAGCAACGTTTAATATGTATGATTTTACTCACTATTATTTTACTACTATTACCATGGTGCCATTCTTACTAGGCTTTTTAATCTTGATTGTAGCCGCAAAACATAACCTCTACTCGAACCGCCGGACCAGTAAAGAGTAAAAATTGGTTTTTTGCTCTGTTAAAATGTTTTGGGAGACATCAATCTACATATCTTGCATAATGAATACATATTGAATTATTAAAATAATTCAAATATTTAAGAAATGCTCAGTGAATATGGGTGGTACTCTGGTAATGCACATCATGTTTATATATGATTTAACAGCTTACGAAACACTTTAACTGTCATATTTTAACTTTCAGACTAGAGCATTATATTTTCAGTTTTTGTTGAATTCAATTTTTGTTGAAACCGATACGTTTTATGTATAACTCATTCGTTGTTTGATTGCGAGAAACATTGATCTTGATTTACGTTTCATGTTGTTACGATCGTTGTTAGATTGCGTAGCTTTGCTATTAAACAGTGATTCCGTGGATTTGTCGTCATTGATTGTTGATTGTCGTCATGTCGACTAAATTGCGATCCCAATTCCCACGCTTTCACTTCTTTCCCCTCCCATTTACACCAACCATATAACCTCACCTCTGACATAACATTCTACATAAACCTTATATAATAATATCTGATACGGCTTTCTCGCTACCAACCACCTTATGATCTTAGTACTGCATAATTCAAATATCAGGCATAACTGAAGAACTGAGTATTACTACAGTGATTACTAAAACTATTTAAAAGGTTGCTCTTTAAATTGGATATATCGGTAAGGTGTTTGAGGGGAAATAAACGTAACCGGTAACGTCATTAAAGATCGCATGTTGCGTAGTTCACTATGTTACTCAGTGATCTTCAGGACTTCAGCAGTTTAGTAGCATAACGTTTTAAAGAGTTTGATGTGTTGCTAGAGGATTTGGTGCTGCTTCTAGTTCTATGCTCCTTTATTTGACTTTAGGTTTTTATCCGTCTGATTTATTGAATCTAGGCCTTGTGTTTAAGCTCACTAACCTAGGCCATGGCTGTACTTTTTATTTTGTACTGAAGTTTAACTTAATTCAATTCAATTTATGCAGGGTTGACTTCCTCAACTTGGTTTTCAGTTATTCTATTTTAAAGTGTTTGGTGTTCCCCTCACTCCTTATATTACTACTAAATACTTCTATACTATAATACTAATTGATCGCGTTACAAAGCTGCAGGAATCTTTGTCTTCAGTACCTACCCAAGTAGGTGGATTAAATTTTATAAAGAGCTTAATAACTGCTCCTTTATAATGCTTCCGCAGGGAAGTCAGGAAGTGTGCTAATACCGCGGAAACTAAATCACATTTACGACTGTCCACTACTATACTGTGAGTACTTAATCTTATAGTCATAAAAGTACTTGTAATCGGACATTGCTTTATACTGCATTCCTTTTATTTCTCATGAGCCTACCCCCTCACAGCGACACTCATTGTATGAGTTACATTGTTACCTTGGTCACGTGACCTGTCAAGATGTTGCTATAGTTTCCGTTGCTATAGTTGTAGTTGTTGTTACCCTTCTTTATGTGTCACAAGGCGACTGTAGTTGTACCCTTTTCTTTTGTATCTGTACCTAGTCCATAGTGACCCCAGATTAAATTAGCGCCTGACCTTTGCTCCACATATTGCTCAATATGTACAATATAAATGCACGTGTAAATGAGTTGAAAGTGAAATTTAAAGTGATTATATCAGACATCAGCCTCATTAATAAGCTTGATCATTGCTAGTGATCTAGTTTAAATAGTGTGCTCGGTTGATCGTTTAAGTAAGTAGAGACCTCGTGCAATTTTCTAGATATCAAACGCGGACTTTTTATGTTCAAATCAGTTTGGTATTAAATCTGAGATATCTGCTTATTCACTCGGTTTGTAACTAGTATCAACCCTGTTTGCAGTACAGACCCCCCAGAATATTCTACAGAACCCAATACAACGAATGTAGAGTACTCACTAAATAATGAAATGTACAGACCTCAATAAATATCATAATGAAGCAAAGTAAGTATTTCTTGAACAAAAGCCTCCTCTTATTGGCTCGCCACCAGCACCACGAGATCTGTAGATACTGTTGCTATCAAACCTACTACCATTAGCAAAAATTCTCTCAGAGATCTACAACTATAACGTTAGGGCCCCCCGTGATATCATGGATTATGAGCCTGAGGTCACGTGACTATGACGTCACCAGACGTGCTATAAGTACAACATGTGCCGTAGTAGTTCTGGTAAGTGTGCCCGGTGACTTACTTACTACTTAGTGGCATGGCAGATAGGTACCATTTGTAGTTTTACTAGACGCACTGTAGATGGGAAACTTACTTATTTACATTAAATATTTGTCAATTGCAATTTTGACCTTATTATAGCAGCCAGGGACCTGTAGTGGGTACAGTAAACCATTTGTAGTAGCACTAGACAAATAAGTGTGGGTGTCATTAGTTATATTAATAGTTGTAAATTTAATTAAAGCGCGGTTTAGGGACCGTTTACATGACGTTTCTACGACATTTCTATTACGTTTTGTTTAGCTCAGGTCACTATTAAGTAAGCTTATTGCTTTATTGATGCAAAAGTTAAACGTACATCAACATGTAAGTTAATAATAAACATTGCAATTAATTAAACGAAGCAGTTTCCAGAAGCTTTTATCTTTATAAACTTAATCCCCACACTCGATGGTGTTGTGTTTTGTCTTGTTTTCAGTAATATTATTCGTTAACAATAATAAGTAAGACTAACGAACTGCGCTCCTTAAATCCTAAACTAATGTCTTTACACATCGCAGAGCTTGACTATAATAGCTACAGCACGTGTCGAACACGAAACAACATCCCTCGCATAATCGCATAATCGCATAAATGTTAGTTAGTTATCCCATCTTCCCATGAGTTCAAACACACGTACAGAAAATTATTTTTAGATATAAATAAATAAACATAATTACAGATTTTAATTCCATCCATATCATGATCGCATAAATGTTAGTTAGTTATCCCATCTTCCCATGAGTTCAAACACACGTACAGAAAATTATTTTTAGATATAAATAAATAAACGTAATTACAGATTTTAATTCCATCCATATCATGATCGCATAAATGTTAGTTATCCCATCTTCCCATGAGTTCAAACACACGTACAGAGAATTATTTTTAGATATAAATAAATAAACATAATTACAGATTTCCATCCATATCATGATCGCATAAATGTTAGTTATCCCATCTTCCCATGAGTTCAAACACACGTACAGAGAATTATTTTTAGATATAAATAAATAAACATAATTACAGATTTCCATCCATATTATCATGATCGCATAAATGTTAGTTATCCCATCTTCCCATGAGTTCAAACACACGTACAGAGAATTATTTTTAGGTATAAATAAATAAACGTAATTACAGATTTCCATCCATATCAAGATCGCATAAATGTTAGTTATCCCATCTTCCCATGAGTTCAAACACACGTACAGAGAATTATTTTTAGGTATAAATAAATAATCATAATTACAGATTTCCATCCATATCATGATCGCATAAATGTTAGTTATCCCATCTTCCCATGAGTTCAAACACACGTACAGAGAATTATTTTTAGATATAAATAAATAAACGTAATTACAGATTTTAATTCCATCCATATCATGATCGCATAAATGTTAGTTATCCCATCTTCCCATGAGTTCAAACACACGTACAGAGAATTATTTTTAGATATAAATAAATAAACATAATTACAGATTTCCATCCATATCATGATCGCATAAATGTTAGTTATCCCATCTTCCCATGAGTTCAAACACACGTACAGAGAATTATTTTTAGATATAAATAAATAAACGTAATTACAGATTTCCATCCATATCATGATCGTTTATTGAATAATACAAAATATTCCCACGCTTTTGGTCTGGGATTTACTTTACATTAGTTACTAACAATTTACTTTATCCTCCTGACTTTTATACTGAGTAGGCACTAACGATGTTAATTAAGTTTTCTAGACTTTTCTACGCTTCAACTATATTATCAATTATGTAGTGTTATTGTAACTGCTCAGTTGCTCTTTTCCCGCTCCTAACGGAAGTTTTCTTTATCAATTTCTACAGTCTACATTAAGCCGTGTCGTTTGCTGGTGGTTGTTAGAAACAGCGCACTGTGCACTTTGACCTTGATTATTTGACATAGTGCCCATTTATAATTTGGGCACAGCTTAAAAGCAAGAACAATGCACTGCGTGTTTAAATATCTCAAAGAGGCATAACTGTGCATGAATTTCATGATCTAATATATTTTAAACTGGTGAAAATGCCGCTAATAATCGATCTTGTGACGTGTTCCCTCGACTTACATGCACTTTATGGAGTGACGACTTTCAATATATTGTTTCTTTGAAGTTCTAGCTGATATAGTTCACTGTTCTGCTCTTTTGTTGCGGTTAACCTTGAATAGAAATGAATTGTCATGATTCGTCTAGTATGAAATTCGTGGACACCAGACTCGGTCATCGGTAGTGCTGCAATATGATTGATTTGACATTCAAATACGTTTCGATCCTGCAAGTTGAGAGGTATACTGCCTGCCGAATCTTTGGAAATATACCATGATTGGAAATGAATTGTCGTGGTTCATTTTAGTATGAAATTCGTGGACCACGGAGGTCGACCTTACTGCTATAATATTGGATTTGATATTTTCTTGCGTAATACATTACGATCTTGCAAGTTGATAATTTGATATTATCCACTGAATCATTGTAGTTTTTGGAGGGAGTAGAATGACTAAAATCTGTTGTTGATTGAATTCAATTAATTAATAATAAATTGAATTCAAATAATTAATTCGTTCAATTCATCCCTAATTGGTGAACTATGTATCCTAGTATTAGTATTCTACTAACAGTCTCACGATATGATTTGCTGCATCCTTAATAGTATCAACTATAGTTTATTTTATAGCTGACTGTATTTACCGATAAATTGCTGAATAAAACTGTGACTTTATTTATTTACTAGTTCTCGAATGTACCATCATGTGATATGAAATGCCCATACTTTCCCCACTCGAGGCCGCACTCATCGGTGTCGCTTTAAAGCGCACTTCTTTGCACAGGAATTATGAGTAGGTGTTTCATAAAATGTTTTCTTGTGTTTCAATATTATGTCGTCGGGAAATATATTGTTTTTACGAATAGTTTGTTCTTGTTTTGCTGACTGCTGAAATTTAGTTTCGACTTTTTGTTTTTTACTTCAACCCGCTGATCCTTTTGTTTGCATAATCAGATAATCCTATTGCTATGCGAGATAAATACTTTAATTTGTTCTGTAATCAGCTGGACATAATGGGGTTTTTCATAGGTGATAATAAGTGGTATCTATTTCAGTCAGTTTAGGAGGGAACTTAAAACTTACACTCACGCACGGAATAAAATCCACTTTATCATTCGAGTCAGATCATCCATAATCTTAAGTTTTAAGACCACAACACTTTAAAAACCGTAAAGTTTTGAGACATCGATCTCTCTGGAATCTAACCCTCTAGTCCTTCCCACCAGCAGCCCAACATGAACGAAATCCAGGACCTAGAAGTCTCCATCTGCGGCACCACAGTGCCCCTCTACGACGCGCACCCGCTCTCCCCTCCCGTCCTCACCTTCATCATGCTGCACGGCCGAAAGTCATCACGTGACCTCTTCCTGGATACGATGAGAGAAATGCAGAATGTTGGACACAGAAGCATAGCTGTGGACCTTCCCACTGGCTCTAAAGTCAAGGACAAGGGAGCGTTTATGCGCGCACTGTTATCCGCACTTCTTGTCACGGATAAACCAGTTATAGTGTCAGTGTCGTTCAGCAGTAACTACGTGTTACCTTTATTAGAGTGTGATGGAGTGAAGGGGTGGGTGGGAGTATCACCTACTTCTCCCCCTCCTCTCACTGTCCCCACCCTCCTGATATACGGAGAGTTAGATGTCAAGGCTCGACCTATTTGTGAGAGGATTCTGAGGGATCCGGGGAATAAGGGTCACGTGACTTGTGTTATGTTTAGAGGGGTGGGCAAGGTGGACCATGATCCGGTTACTGAAAAGGGCAAGTGGACCAAGGTGCTTAAAGAGTTCTTGATGGATCTGTGATAGATCTGAGTTGTGATGAAACTGTAATTAATGATCTGTGATGCACCTTTGATGAAGGATTGAGGGTATTTGGTTGAGATATTCAAGTTGGACTGATATGAATTTGAGATTGTTAGAATATGAGGTTATCAGAAAATTGAGGGTTTGTAAAGATTGGGAGATAAAACATCTGAGGTAAGACAACTTGACTCTTGAGGACCTTAGAAGGTTAGAGTTACAATGAAACCAAGGGCTGGTGACTAGGTGATTCAGAAATTCGTCGAAACCTTACTGTGAAGCTTTAAGCCGGGCGTTTGACCTCTATTGATCATATTTGTGGTACTATAACTGAGCCCTACATTTCACAGTGGATCATGTTGATAATGATAGTTCTGAAAAATACTGACACACATTTCAGTTGTTTAACTTTTTGTCTCCTAGTGATTTTTGTTGTGCTGTGCTGTCAACAGTGATTTAATTATGACGCATAGTATAGTTATTATGTATAAAGAGCTCATTCATTTTGTTTTTATGTGCACGATTTTGTTTAAATTCTACATGTTAACGTTGTTTAAGGAAATTTCACGATAACGAATTATCGGTATTCAACGCCTTAGTTTTCTTACCTTCGGCCACTAACGAATGTGTTAAAAACCTGAAAATTTCCCTTTGAGAATGAGGTGTTTTAAAATATCCGTGTGAAAAAAAGAAATCCAATACCGCTTTTCATTGTTTAAAACTAAGATAATACAAAATATATGACGTTATCGGCCCGAAGTTTGTCGTCGTAAAATAATAATATTTTGCCAATCTTTTGCTTTCGGGCAGTTGGAGTGATGCCACTCATAAAAATACAACTTGTGAATTGATATTGGTACCTTAACATTGTTATAATTGTTATAAGTCGCATATTAGGAGCAATGAGCATACAAATAATTTGTAAAATTCTGAAACTTCCTTGATGGAAGATGATAAACATGTAAAGATAGGACCGATTTTGTTTGTGGTGTGTGCTTACATAAAAATGATAATTATTATGCCAGAAAACAGATGCGAGCATTTTTAAAAATACTACATTATCAAGTTACATAATATGATTTTATCCAGTATCATTATAAATCATAATTATATAATTTCAGAGAGGAAGAAGATGATACCGAGAACATTCTAGATAAACTGAGGAAACGACAAAAAGATAAGCTTCTCAACAATAAACCAGGTCAGCAATCAGACAACGAGTTTCAAAAAGTCCTAATTAAATTTTGACAACGTGGGCAGAATATTTTCGGTCAGTGATCACTAAAAATATTTATTTATCTCAACTGTGGGGTCTTGTTCGGCTGTGGAGGGTTATTTATTTGAGTCAATAATTTTTTACTATTTTTTATGAATCGAGTAAAAGTAAAAGTTGCGTGGCCCGTCGGTTACCCTAAATTTATTATTAATGAATCCAGTTTTATGGAGCCCACTTAACCTCGCAAACATATATTGGAGTCCCTCTGGTGCAGTAACCTAACTTCATGGTCACACCACATAGGAGAATTACCACTTCTCCCTGGAGAATAAGTGTTAAAACTCATCCTTCGGGCCACGGATATATTCGGCGCCCGAAATATGAGTTTTAATTCGAATAGTTACTATAATTATAGTTTTCGTGTATTTTATTAATTTTTCTTGCGAAACTTGGTTTGCGAAACTTGATTTAATTTAAATGATACGAAAGCCTGCCACGGGCTGGATCGGCCGTTTGTGTAATATTAATATTATTCGGCAGGCCATTCCGTTAACGTTATTAAAGAATCCAAATTCCACACTTGAAAGAAATTTTTAAATAAAAAGTTATCACTTATCTATAATAACTTTAGTTCGTTATATTCGTACTGATTAATAAATTAACTTGACTGACAGTCAAAATACAGTGTAGTACACTGTACAGTGTAGTACAATTAAACTACTGTTTTTATGCTTTGAAGAAGTTTAGGGGACGAGTGATGTACATAATTCACAATATACATACTTACCAATTAATATAAAAGATAGAAAACAACTTTGTTAATGGGTACAAGGAAGTACCATAAGTATCTTTCAATTGTTCTCTGTAAAACAGTGAGGATAAGTTTAAAGCAATTTAACAATGTAGCAGATCCTTATAAGCCACTCTTACAATTTTTTTTGCATCTGTGCATCATTTTCTCGTACATTGAACATAATTAGTTAATTACTTATTCGATTACGTAATCGATTACGTAATCGATTACGTAATTGATTACGTAATTTACCCGTTATATTTAATGTTCTATTTGGGTGGTTGGTTATGTGAGTATTGGACTAAATTCCACCTTTCCTCCAGTGGCAAGGATTACCACTGCTCTGAACTTTTAGAAGGTCATTAAGGTCCTATTTCTCACTGTACAGCCTACTCCGTAATTAAATTCAAGTTGTAAATGTGCAATCATTTTTTCGCTGCTGACATCACTCGATCACAGACTAACTTCACGTGACTAACATCACGTGACTAACATCACGTGACTAACATCACGTGACTAACATCACGTGACCGCAGGTTGCTGTTCCCACGACCGTTGCAAGCCAGCAGGAGATAACCCAGACCAAGGTCCCAGACTTCACACATGGCCCTGTCTGTTATCCAGATATAACGGAGACCCTGATGGTAAGAGATTTTAAAAGAGTTTTATAGTGTTTTCTAAAATTTTTGGAATTGTTTGAATTTTTTAGAATTTACTATTGCTTAGTTGGTATGTATACAAATTCACATACTCTGCTGTTCTATTTATTCAGGAAACAATATATTGTTAGATTGTGAACCCGTTTGTAAAATTAACAAGATATTTTAGTCCACTGCAAGTGCTCTCCACTGATGTATTGTACTAACTATTCATTATTCATTACGCAAATCTTCTACGAGATCGTTTTAGATCCCACTGAATACAAATAAGATTTAGGTTGTAATAATATGTCATCTCTCGCGAACATAGATAATGGACAAATGAGTCCGACATTAAGCAGTAGAAATAATATGCAAAAATACCATACGCTTTTCAGATGAAATTCAATTACTCGATGGTTACTCTTTTTTGCTTACAGACTTTGAGAATTTTCGTTGTAAAAGTATGCGACCTTTCGGCTGGTCAATTTTTAATTGTGACTCGGCGTTTTATTGAAAGAAAATCATTTATTCTATCGTACCACTAAATATGAGCTATTCATGGAAGAGATGTTTGAGGCACTAAATGTCTGAGAATGATAGTTTAAACCTATAAAGTTATTACTCGAAATTCTTTAGAATTTAGAAAAGCCTTTAAGTATAATATACATTCAAGGATTCCACAGAATTTCCAGTAAGCCAGTAATAACTCTGTAGGTTTAAACTATGATTCTCAGAAATTTTGTGCCTCAAACATCTCTTCCATAAATTTTAAAAAGGGAATAAAAATAAAACACAACATCTTCATTTTAAAAGCCAATTCTACTAAATCACAATACCAAGAAGATCTCTTCCAAAAGTGGTCGTTAATTTACTCTACTTCTCCGTTGCTCTGTGTCTTGATATAGTAAGAGTAGCTGGAGATATGACACATATTCTGGTGTGCTCTAGTGAACCTCACGTATCCACTCTCACCCCATCCAGCACCGTAACTGTTCCTCACGATCCAAGCGCTGCTGGTGTATCCCACAGCCGTAACAGCATGGTTTTGAACCTTCATACATGATGTGTTGCTGTAAACACCTCCTCGGTAGGCAGAGAGCTGACGGTCGAATCCCATGCCAACAGCAACAGGTCCAGCACTGAGAGCAGCAGCGAGGCCGTTGTCTCCGTTAACTTTGTAGACTCCAGTGATCCTGAAGGGGAGAGCGTTCTGGTGTCGGGTGTTACAGGAGTATCCATCTCTGTAGGTGAAGGGGTAGCTGGCGGAGGTAGCAAGATGTCCAGTCCTCCTGACAGCCTCCAGAGCTTTGTTGTGCATTCCTCCTCTAGCGACTGTGGACCCACTGGTGCAGTCAGCGACCTCCTGTTCAGAGAGAGCAGTGTATCTTCTGTTTTTGATGGAAGTGTGTCCCTCCAAGACAGCGGTAGCGGCGAAGGCCCAGCAAGCGTTGGTGTTTGCCTGGTTCTTGGCAGGTCCGTATCTACTTTGGTGGTTAGCTCCGAGATTGAACTTAGGGTTGACCTCAGCCTGTTCATATACGTCATCGTCATCGTTCATGCCGGTGGCGTTGAATCCTCGCATGTTTTCGGCTTCAGCTTCAGTCAGGTCAGCGAAAAGGGTGATACCATAGGTGACATCCTCGTCTTCTTCGTTGTATCTGGCAGCGTCCTTTACGAACCTGGGTTCAAAATGTGTTGATCTCTATCTAAGGTGCAGTTGTAAAATATGAAAGAAAAAGTGATAGTAAAAGAGAAAGCAAAATTGATAGATTGAAAGAGAAACTCACTGTCTGAAGTTGGCCAGCCTTAGTCTCCTCTCACTTGGTGCGTATTCCTTTCCATACTCATACTGGAACATGTTGAAGAGACCCAGCATAATCTTGGGATCCCCGTTAGCCAGGTTAACGATCTGGTCCTTGGAACCAGACACAGCTGCTACAGCAACCATCAAGATGATGAACATATTCATGGTGGAGTTGATTCGTAAGAGAGTAAGAGAGAAGTTGATGGAGGAGGAGTGAAGAAGAGGGTTTATATACGCGGGGTTTGGGTTAGGTGACCAGATGGGTATAATTTTCGGAGAAGGATAAGTTTGAGCTTTTTTTGTTAGGTGCTAAATGTTCTTTTGTTTGAGGTGACGTATTCTTTTGTTCTATTCGGAGTCGTGTTCTAGGTCATATTCTGAATAAATATTAAATAAAAATGTGCCGTCTTTTAGAACATTTTAATCTAATAGTAAGACAATAGAGTTGTGAAAATTGAAGTTTTAGTTCTTAGGCACGAGAATTGATTGAATTGTCGTTTCAACTCACTGGATGAAAATGCGAATGGAATTGAGAAAAAAATGTTTCTCTAAAGATTTCTTTCTCCATTTTTCTTACCAATTATCTCCTGCATCCTTAGACACACAAACCTCGCTCGATAACCCGAAATCAAGAACTGTTTCTCCGTTTAGTTTGTACTTCATCCCATCTAATGTCCTGATGAAACCCCAGACTTTCAAATCGAGAAGAATTCCATTTCTATATTAAAGGAGTCGAAAGAATTTCGACTAATAACTTTATATTATAGAGTTATAGGCTTAAACTATGATTCTCAGAAATTAAGTGCCTCCAACATCTCTTCCATAAATAAGTCATATTCAGTAATATCGCTTTACACGACATCAATGACTATCACCATTCAGCAACCTGCTTCACTTAATAAACCCATCTGAACCTAAATGCTATACTTTTGAATTTTAAAGAGGGAATACAAATAAAACACAAAACTTCATTTTAAAAGCCAATTTAACTAATCAACTAAATAACAATATCAAGAAGATAGCTTCCAAAAGTAGTCGTTACTTTACTCTACCTCTCCGTTGCTCTGTGTTCTGATGTAGAACGAGTAACTGGAGATATGGCACATGTTCTGGTACGATCTGGTGAACCTCACGTGACCTCTCTCACCCCATCCGGTACCGTAACTGTTCCTCACGATCCAGTAGCTGCTGGTGTATCCCACAGCGGTAACAGCATGGTTTTGGACGGACATACAGGATCTGTTGCTGTAAACACCTCCTCGGTAGGCAGAGAGCTGACGGTCGAATCCCATGCCAACAGCAACAGGTCCAGCACTGAGAGCAGCAGCGAGGCCGTTGTCTCCGTTAACTTTGTAGACTCCAGTGATCCTGAAGGGGAGAGCGTTCTGGTGTCGGGTGTTACAGGAGTATCCATCTCTGTAGGTGAAGGGGTAGCTGGCGGAGGTAGCAAGATGTCCAGTCCTCCTGACAGCCTCCAGAGCTTTGTTGTGCATTCCTCCTCTAGCGACAGTGGACCCACTGGTGCAGTCAGCGACCTCCTGTTCAGAGAGAGCAGTGTATCTTCTGTTTTTGATGGAAGTGTGTCCCTCCAAGACAGCGGTAGCGGCGAAGGCCCAGCAAGCGTTGGTGTTTGCCTGGTTCTTGGCAGGTCCGTATCTACTTTGGTGGTTAGCTCCGAGATTGAACTTAGGGTTGACCTCAGCCTGTTCATATACGTCATCGTCATCGTTCATGCCGGTGGCGTTGAATCCTCGCATGTTTTCGGCTTCAGCTTCAGTCAGGTCAGCGAACATGGTGATACCATAGGTAACATCTTCGTCTTCTTCGTTGTATCTGGCAGCGTCTTTTACGAACCTGGGTGCGACAGTGTGCTAAAAGCAGAATCATGGACAGAGAAACTAACCAAAATTATGAAAATGTATCTGAAGTGCGGAAGTAAAATATGAAAGAAAAAGTGATAGTAAAAGAGAAAGCAAAATTATAGATTGAAAGAGAAACTCACTGTCTGAAGTTGGCCAGCCTCAGTCTCCTTTCACTTGGTGCGTATTCCTTTCCATACTCATACTGGAACATGTTGAAGAGACCCAGCATAATCTTGGGATCCCCGTTAGCCAGGTTAACGATCTGGTCCTTGGAACCAGACACAGCTGCTACAGCAACCATCAAGATGATGAACATATTCATGGTGGAGTTGATTCGTAAGAGAGTAAGAGAGAAGTTGATGGAGGAGGAGTGAAGAGGGGGGTTTATATACGTGGTTTGGATTAGGTGACCAGATGGTTTTATTTGTCGGAGAAGGAGAAGTTTGAGTGTTTTTGTGAATTATGTGCTAAGTGGTCTTTTGTTTGAGGTGATGTGTTCTTTTGTTCTGTTGTGGGCTCTGTTCTGTGAATCAAGTTTAAATCAAAATTTGTCATTTTTTCGAACTTGTTAATCGAATATTTTCGAATGGAGTTGTGAAATTTGACATCGAATGGAGTTGTGAAATTTGACGTTGTAGTTCTTAGGCACAAGATAAAATAGAATTGTCTTTAAAACTTTAAGAGGAAAATGCGAATAAAATCGAGAAAAAACTTTGAATGATGGTGTCTAGACGTAGAATAAGTTCACAGTAGTAAAAGTCAAGCATTCAAGCAAGCTTAATCTCAACTTTAAAATATAAGCAACTTTGATCGCTTAGTCCAATAACTTGTGATAAAGGTTGATTTGAGTAAGGGTTTTATGTTAAGCTGCTAATCCTTGATAAAATGCCTCATTTAATCGAAGATTTGCCACCTAATTCAGTCGGATCCTACTGTGGTTATGTGTTACATACTCAAAGTCATGGACCGTTGTTTAATGTATATTGTCTATCTGTAATAATGTCTAAATATTTCTGTAATTTCTATTACTTAACTTACCTTTTCCCCTTTTTTTAACTCACCAATCTTAGAACTGTAGAAGTCGGAAACGTCATCATTGCTAGAAAAATATATCTCTACAATCTCCTTTCTCCATTTTCCTTCCCAACTATCTCCTGCATTCTCGGACACACAGACCTCGCTCGATAACCGGAAATCAAGAACTGTTTCTCCGTTTAGTGTGTACTTCATCCCATCTGATGTCTTGATGAAACCCCAGACATTCACATCGAGGAGAGTTATTGGACGGGGAAAGGGCTTCATATCCGTGCATGATCCGATAAGATACTGGACAGGATCTGAGTAATTGCACAGACCTATGAGTGCCATCGTCATTAATAAGCTTGATTTTAAGACGATCAGTGCTTCCTAATTGGCTGTCCGTACGAACTTTTAAAGATATATTGTCCAAATTTGTAAATGGGATCACAACGTCTCTTTCAACAGCTTTCCAAACTGAAAGGCTTTGTATTTAATACTGCTTTAAGGGTAACGATACCACCTCATCATAGCCACAAGAGATCCAGCATTCAGAACAATGTGATATTCAGAACAATTTAAAAAGGAGGATCTATAATTTGTCACCAAACCTGTTGGAGCTGCGAGACAAGTGGAGATGACTATGAGAGGGAGTAGAGTGTTTCCAAGTGGAATCATTTCCTGCTTTAGTAGGAACAAATTTAGTAGGGACTAGGAACGAATTTAATAGGAACAAAGATGACAAAGATGACAAGATGATTCAAAATTTAAGGGCAAGTTGAAGTATTTGAAGTTTAAAAGAGATAGAGTAACCAAGACCTTGTGGCTTGAAGCAACTAAAGAAAGTGAGAAACCCCGTCTCCTTAGTTTTATTTTGGGAAACCGCCGCCCCCATGAATTAATGTATTGCTTCCAGATGTCATTGTTTGGACGTACCTTTATTTGTTATTGTTACTCATAACATGCGCACATTAAAAACATGGACCCATTTATCTGTGACCATACGTCCCTCATCTATATCAGGATTCCGCTTTATATGTAAGCGTGTGCCCCCACCTCGCTATTAAGGGTCTGCTATAATGAGACAGCAGCCAGCTGATCATCATGTGATGACGTTGTAGTTTTTTGCCATAAACACGCGTCGTAAACTCTTTGAGCATGAGTTTCTATTGACCGAAGGTAAAGGTAAAACGTCAACTTAGTCTTCCGAGGAACGATTTTGTTCATTTGCCTCAAATTGAGCCTTGCAGCGGCTGTCTGGCCCACATAAGACCCCCATATTATATTCCCACTTACATCTTACCCCTCCCCCCCCTGAGAATACCCCGGCCCCCTTGACAATTTTACTATTTCAGCTGAACCAAAGACGATGTCACCCCCTGGTGATGATCTGGAGAAACAAACGCTGGACTCTCTGGAGGGGCTCACCTCCGTGGTAAGTCACGTGTTTAGTCACGTGTTTAGTCACGTGTTTAGTCACGTGTTCATTATTTTGATATTATCTTCACCAGCCTAGTATAACTTGTTATGCGATATTAGGAGGATTATAGAATGAGCAATTATATCTAAAAGGATTTATTTGTGCGAACGTAATTGGTAGTTAAAGTACCTGGAGTACATCATTCTAATACAGCTGTATTGTCATAGTTACTAGCCTTCTATTTGTTCTACGCATGGTATACATGCTTCTTATCCAAATGATTAGGCAATTTAGGGCTTATATTTGATATTTCCTCCGAATTTCTACGATGGACCAACGAATCCTTTTACTCCCTTTATCTTACACAACATCATGCTAAAATTGACTGAAAATGCTTCTTAAACTGTATATGATTCGCTGTGGAAATAATTTAAGTATCAGTTTCATCCTCCAGATAGTAAAAGAGAGGGATACAGCACGTAAAGAACGCGACGGAGCCAGAGCACAGTGTGCCTCTTTTCTGAACGAGTATGATGGTCGCAGGCAAGCCTGGCAAAACCAACTAAATGTGGTCAAGATTAGACTGGAGCATTACGCCAGGCGTCATGACAAGGTTGGTGACTTTTCTTTTAATTTCGAATATGGTCAGCACATTTTAATTAAAATGAAAAAAATCTGTTGAATCATTTCATAGAATTCCTCATAGAATCTTAGAATTCCTTCGACTGCTACATGACTAAAGTTAATGAAGAATGAGAATTGGAAAATGTAATATTACTTATTACCCTCCGCCTGCATGTAACCTGTAACGCCTTATTTCACAAGGACATGTAATTAGTAATAGTTCGAACTTCGAGAGGTCATGACAAGGACATTTCAATCCCAAGTGTATGAATAATAAAGCATGGTGACATACTGGGTCTTTGGATGTTATGGAACGAGCGATCTTTTATTTGATATGCACCATGTGGTTGAACGCGCGTGCGCGCGCGTTTAATTCCCACGGTTTTAATCAGGAATGAGGAAAATAAAAAGAAACCTCACTTCGCAAAATTATGATAGCGTACGCGAGAGAGGCAAGGTACCTGGAAATACCTTAATTAACAACAAACATTCCATCAGCTGCGTAACGATATTGTAAAGCAACACGAAAAGTTCGATATAGAACGTTCCAGAATGAAGGAGAGACACGCTAACCAGATCGAGGGATTATTTGGAGATTTGTTCAATAAAATAAAATCAGGTACATAAAATCCGTAAAGTGTAAACATAAAGTTTCTGGAGTTGAAATGGACTGAATTTTGATTTTACAGTTGTTATTTATCGTGTATCATTTATGAATTGATACTGTGTTCACGATTTGGCTGTAATTATAACTAATGAAATAGTAATTGGTTTCAAATATAACTTGTTATTAAGTTTATTAGATTATTCAGATATCCCTCCAAATTCAGATGATCAGTATGTTGGTTCAAGTACAGGACTAGATGAAGTTAACTACAGACTTCAAGCTTTTATGGAATTGTGGAAGGGTTTGGCCCATGATGTCGATGATCTTTATGATAAGGTTTGAAGATTTTGAGATCATTTTGTTTTAAGTGAGTGTTAATTTGTAATTTAACTTAGTTTCCTTATATTTATTCAACTCGTTATGAAATCTATCCCTAACAAATTAATGGAGGTCAATCTGGATTTGTAATATCATTTTTGTTCAGGAGCATTATTGTCTGCGACTATGCGAAACCGTTAAAAGTCTGCAAGAACAGATAAATCATCAGAACAAAATAATATCGCAGTTAGCCAAGGTAAGTTAATCACGCCAAACTTACAATATCTAATGAAAATCAGAATTATTCAAAACTTTTATATCATTAGACTTGCATATTTTAACAAAACTTCACTTTGGTACAATTTCAGGGCGTGCCAATCAACGTTCCTCCTCCTACGGACGAAAAAGACCTCCCACCACCCAACATCAACGTAATCATCGACCATCACAAATGGGAAACAGTCAACTCAAACCATACTACCACCATAAACCACACCACAATTAACAAGGACACCAGTCTCCCTAGATTTGACGAGTATGAGAAACTCGGCAGCCTCCTACCCCCAGAAGATGGTCTGTCATGCGAGGATATTCTCAGTCAGTTTGCTCCCATAGAAGATACATTCGACAATTTGAAACTGTCGTTAGATCGGCCCAAACCCAAGAAAAAGTCTGTGGCAACCAGTCCTCTACCAGCATCGGAACCAGATCCAATCATGATTGAAGTCAGAGATATTCCCTGCCAAAACTCAGCTCCTCTACCAAAACCTTCCATTAATATCAACAAAAGTATCGATGATTATAACCAACAACCCGATTTACCAATCAAATTAGACCCGGAAGATTATCGTAAGAAACAAGAGCCCGAGACTCCTGTAATTGAGCTGGACACGGCTCCTGTAGTCAAGGCACTGAAACCATTTCAATATGAGCCTATGTTTGATGAACCTGTAAAACAGACTCCTTTAGAGACCACATTAGACGACCCTGCCACCAGTCCTCCAATGGAGACCATATTGAATGTGACAGCTGTTACGGTACCAAAGGAGACCACAATAGATGATCCAGCTCCTGCTCCTAAGAAGAAGAGGAAGAAAAAGAAGAAGGTAGCTCCCCCACCAGAACCAGAACCAGTGGTTGAAGTGGAGCCAGAACCTGAACCCGCACCTCTTATCGAGATTGAAGTGTCTGTGCCTGTTTTGGCTATGAGAGATCCTTCGCCAACACCGTCATTTAGAAGACGTAGGGCTAGTATGGAGAGTGTAAAGGATTTCTCTATCATGGGTAAGTGTACTTAATCCCTTAATCCCTTAATCCTTATAATATGGCAGTGTACGTTTGTATCCGTAAATGGGTTTTAAGCCAAAGTGAATTGAATGTTAAACCATTAATTCGAATATATGGGGACCAGCAAATTAATAATTTCTATCATACTCAATCTTGTGTTCTCAGGTGACCCTGACTTAGAAGAAGCCATGTCCCCACCACCTCTTCCCGCTACGCCAAAAGAAACCACTCTGGATGATCCTGCTACATCGCCAACATCCTCCGTCGCCTCTCCTAAACCAGAAGAGAAGAAAAAGAAATGGAAGCCGTCCATGCCGATCTTCAACAAGAAGTTACCGAAGGCAGCGCCACCTCCAGAACCTGAACCTGAACCTGAACCCGAGGTCGCCAGTTCTGCATCGTCGTCAGGTTGATATTTCCTTCTTCTGTTTAGTTGTTTTTTGTCTTTCTGTTTAATGAATTAGATGAATATAGAAATACATTTTAGTATTATCATAAACCTGAAACATACTTGTTTTTGAACTTCACTATCCTCAGAATCGGATTCTGAAGCAGAAGAAGCACCCTCCGTAGCACCATCAAACCCCAACGAAGAGGACGGTCCCCCTCAATCTCGGAACAAACGCGCGAAATCCCTGCCTAGATTCAGGGATCCCTCGTTACCGAGGAACATGGCCTCAGTCAATATGAAGCGTGCTCAGTCATCGACGAGACTTAAAGAATCAGATGATGATTCAGACTCGGACGACTCTGATATCAGGAGTCTTATTGAGAGCGTATACATGCCACTGGTGGGTGGAACTTATCATTTGTGACTTGTTTGCCACCCAAAACCTAATCTAGCGATATGTTTCCCACTTTATTCCGGATAAATTCTCCAAGGATCTAAGGATGTCACTTTAGATTTTTAACGTTTTACTAATCCACCGGCTACCATTACACAATTATTCTTTATTGCTATATTATTTTATTTATTCTACTAACTCACTATTAAATCTCCAGCACATGACACCAACGTCGAGAGCTGGATCCAGGAAAAACGTAGCTGACGATGCCAAATCAGAAGCTAGCTCTTTCGCTCGAAGAAACAAGATGCCTGGCTCCATGGGGTGGTTAGATAGCAACAAAGGTGAATAATCAATTAATTAGTTAATATCATTTAATCATTCAATCAATTGATCATTTGATTAGTCAATTGAATCGTCTTTCATGTAACATTCGCAGGGTTTTCTGCAATTGCTCTAGTGTTTGATCGAATTATAATAAGATAAAATGAAATAGAATGACAATCAACACAGCTGAAAAATTGAAACCTATAAATGAATAACTAAATAAACTATTTCTGAGAATAGAATTAGAAGATTCTGTAAGTAGTAAACCGGTAAACCCTGCTAATCCCTTTCTTTTCTTGGAATAACATCCCGCTTTGATTCAGCTAGGCATGAAGCATAGGACTATAAGTCAGTATTTATATTTACTTTTTACTTCGGGCATCTTCTATCGAAATGAGATATTACTCAAGTAACCAGCAAGTTAAAACAGATGATTTGGCAAAGTCTTGGCTTTTTTGGTTGTTTTTTATTGAGTTTCTAATTCTTCCCGATCACCAGCTTCAAGCCCACGAGGAAATATACCCTTTTATCTCGGTGCATGTTATATTCTCATTATGGTTTAGCTTTTAGGTTTAGTTCGGCCATGGTCTGTTGGCTATTTGGGACTGAATGTCCTATCAATACTGACCTGACTGTAGGTTAATTATTGGCATCGCTCTTAGTGGTTTTTCAAAGCCCTGAAGGGTGCCCGCGGGGTTCTCAATCAAAGTGTATTCCTTATAACGTATCTGGTTTTATTAATAGCAAGAAAACGGTTGCGGTTGAAAGGAGGACATAGTGATCAGCGTTTTACTTTTTTACGTGTATAATCTAATTAAATGTTAACCATTAACCTACCTATCCACTTTTTTGCGTAAACAGCTATAATAATCAGATTAAAATAAATCCTTGTGTTTAACATGTAACTCAACACTCAGCGAACACCTCCGACGAGTCCAGCTCTGACTACAGTGACAGCGAGTCAGAAACCAGTGACAGTGACGTGTCCGACAGTGACGTGGATGAACAGGGAAGCGGACCTGAGGAAGAAGATGAAGGAGAAAGGTAATTTGTTTATCAGTTTTATTGGTTGATTAATTAGTAAATTAGTCAATTAGTCAATTATTTAATTATTTAGTAAATCAGTTAGACGGTTATTTAGTTGATAAGATGATTCTTCAATTTTACGATCGGTAGAACATTTTGTCAATATTTACTGAAATTTGTGCTAAGTGTAGTTCTGCTGGTTTCTCTTCTGGGATACATTCCGTATATTAACGTGGCTAACTGCTAACTTATCAAACCTTACTTTAACACCAAAAAAACTGTGTATTAACCTCTCTTTGTCTATAGCAGCTCAGAAAGTGACGGCTCCGACAATTCCTCGATAGGTAAAGAAGCTGTGCAAATATGCAAATATGCAAATATGCAAATATGCAAATATGCAAATATGTGTCATCATGAACTAAATGTGTATCTTTTGTGCAGCTGTTTGATGTTCCATCGAAGGAATAAAAAAATGTCTTTTTGTACTCTCTCTCTCTGATTTTTGAAGAGGGAAAAAAACGAACTTGTTAATTTACGCTCCCTCGTCTCTCGATCTGGAGATTACACAAAAATCGAATAAATATCGTGAAATCTGAGAAATCTGAGAAATCTGAGAAATCTGGTTGTCAGAAGATTCATTGGCCGCTAGAAATTGTAAAACTGCATTAGCTTTCGATTGCATTAGATTGATTGCGGATGGAAGAAATAATCATCAATAATAGTGGAATGTATAATATGGAATTTATCAGAAAAATAATAATCGGCAGCTGAATTTTTTGTGATAGTCTTTAGTTTTTATATGACATTCAGATAAAGAAAATAATAGATTCACGCCTTAATAGGTATCAAATAAGCTGAGAAATGCACATTTTTTTAATAATATTATATTTTAGATGAAGGAAAAACCAGCTGACTCGGTAAATCATGCATGATAAGACTGGAAAAGTGAATACTCAGATTCGAAAATTTGAAATCTTTAAGATATATTTGCAGAGATTTATTGAAAATCACCTTGATGAATCTATACAATGAGATCATTGCTTGAATTAGATAAATGCTTGAATTGATTCATAAGCTGTTGATGAATCGCTTTTTCAATAAGTTCGTCAAATAATGTGATGGACAATTTCGGCCCCTTTGATTTCATGAAAACAACTGTCTTGGAATGATTCTTTCGTATCAATGTTTCTGCTTTCTGTAGATTGAAACATTTAACATTATTTTAAAAATTTAACCATCACTACGTGATGTATGCAGTATGTTTTTTGCATGTTTTCGCCATATGTCAAAGACTGAATTTAATGTAAAGTATATGTCAGCTTTATCGTTTATTTATCAGCTCTTACATGATAGGGAATCTTTTACATTTTAAGACCCCCCACTACGCACTTCACGCACAGTTATTCAAGTGTAAATAATATTTACACAAGCATGATCTTCCTCCCCCCTCAGTGCTAAAAAATACATGAACCCCCCCTTACAATACAGATAGCACAACTAACTAAACCTAACTAAACCTTAACTTAAACTAACTTAACCTAACTAACCTCAACCTCCAGGTGATAGTGTTGTAGCAGAATTGGTAGCAGACCCTGAATTGCCAGACCACCCTCCTAGCAATCGCAACTCCATGCTCGACTCCATAATGAAGGATTTCGACGATCAATCTAAAGACTTGTTCAACTCATCTATAGCGTCTTCTCAACCGAGTATGAGAGGAGAGATCCTGATATGAGCATGGGCCTTTGCCAGGGCCCTGTTGAGCCAGGGTTGCTAAGTGACTGTACGCGCGGCGCATTTTCTGCACGTGCTGTTGCGCATTTCCCATTCCATACCTGCACGATCATTAGGGTTTTGTTATGGAGCGTATTTTGATCAGACATTACATTAGGGTTTTTAATAATCATTGCTTTCTGCCGGACCTTATAGAAGTTTGAGAGGCATTTTTATCGACTCAAAACAGGCAACTTAAATGAAATCTATTCCGACACAAAGTATATTTTTGGACAATGAAAGGCTTTACATTATTATAGCTACGAACTTTAGCCAGAAGATTTTATTTTCAAATTATTTTTGTACACTATTATCATTTAAGAAACCAGAGATCTATCAGTGTAAATCCTTTGTGAACATTTTGCGTTTCATGCAAATTGATATTACGGTGTGGACGATGTTTTGATTCTTGATTATGTTTTGAATTTATTTCCAGTTGCGTATAATTATTCAACCAATTATGTTTAGCCTTTAGGATTAAAATTAATTTGTTATGAGGAATCGACGATTACGTTACTTATATAACTTCTACTATGCACGAATACTTTGATGATGTAATGTGTCACCGGCCATGCCTTATCATACTAATCTGATAGAATTAACTTAATTAACTTAATTAAGTTTAAGGGTTTTGATGGAAAATAAAGATCTTCTTGGAATGCAATATCCCATTAAAGTGCTAAAAGTATTCTTTATCGACTTAAGATCCAGTGATAAGCAACCTACTGTTTATGTTTATTCTTATTGAGATCAATTTTTACTGAAAAAATATGCAAAAATAATTCGTTTGCAGCGCACGGTTTGATTACATAGTATTAGGTAAGAAATTATTAATTTGACGAACCGTTTTTAAGCTTAAAATGAAATTGTAATGTATTACAAATATATATGACAGATTTTATTTTACAGATTAAAAATATCTTCCAACTTCTTCTTCGAAAAATAAAGAATATAATTCAAATCCTTGATATAAAGACTACTTTTAAAAACATCTTTAAATTGTGAAAATAAGAAACGGCTAATCCAATTATGCCATAGTATATAATATGATATACTGGATAATATTGCCAAGAATCACCATCACTAACTACTCTAACATACGAAGCTAACAATGGACCATAACTGATTACTGAATCTGATAATATTTTTTCAAAAAACAAATCCCCAAAGCTATCTCATCATGCAGTATCTAAAAATATCAATTAATCAAGACCCCAAAAATTAATGCAAACAGCAAAAGTCGTGAAGTTAATTCATTGATTAAGAGATTAAGTCAATAATAAAACTTATTGCTAGCTGCCTTGTTATATTTTTTAAGCCCTGGTATGGTTGAAGAATCCAGCTGCAATCCAGCTGCTATCTTCAAGCTGGCTAACTGCTAGCTGATCAGAAGGCTATCTTCAAGCTGGCTATCTGCTTTTCCAAATCATCACACATTTGTTGTGCGTCTGCCATTTCCTCTTTGTTACCTGCTTCGTACAAATTGGTTAATTTTGATCTTAATAAAATTAAAAACCGGCAAATATCTTGAATCAAAGTTGTCATACTCATAGTGCTTGGTGCCTGGAAGACGTGGACTGTGGACGTATGCAAACGTTTTTCGCTGGAACCTCTCATGGGGAATGGGGATCAATCCAAATTGAAGGCCGGGATATTCAAATCCTTTTGCACTAAACCAAAATAATCAGAGTTTTGTATATTCAATTTAGCGCATTACTATTAGCATGTTAACAGATTTATTCCGCAGAATTGTGATAATCTGTTTAATCGATTACAGATAATAATTCTGCGGAATAAATTCAGCCGTTATATGACTCCTACGGCTGCACGTACCCACTACCGGACGACCGGACGTAAGCTGTACTTAAACAGTAGTAGATGTATATTATACTTATAGTATTATGACTATAGCTATATTCATATTGCCCAGAATTATAATAAAAAACCAAAATGGATTTGGGATTAGATAATTATAATTTAAATTATCACTGATTTAAAAGTATTAACCATTTCAGTTTATATATACTCTCATGAATTGCTAAGGTAAAAAATATGTTTACTATTTGAATTGTTTACTATTTGCAGCGACTAGATGTCGATGACGCGGACGACCGACGCCATATTGCACATATCTAAATTTCTTATCAGTTCACAGTTACAATATGTCAACAGTCAACTGTTTAGGGGTTTACTTTCACACATCTTTCACACATGATCGCATGGATTATTGAGGAGGACGTCCCTTGTGGCATTATAATCTGAAATTCGTGAAACCGCATAACGTACTTTCGGAATAGTGCATGGCTTACCAGTCGCCACACAATTGCAATATTGTGTTGTTAACTTTAAGCGTCCTGACACTCGATACGGATAACTCTGCGCGTGTGCTGCAGTTAAATTAGGGCATATATGGGCACTGAGGCCAGGTGGATACTGGACAATAAATGCCATCAAATTCAATACAATGGCTGAGTATTCTTTTAGTTTTACCTGGGGACCCCAGGCTATACTATGTACTTTAAGTTTAGTACTATTACTAGTACTAGTAGTAATAAGCATAAGTATATATAATGTTCATATTAAACATTATAGGTGAATAGAGCTTTGGCGGAATGACATGATGATGAATTGTGAATGCAATTTAATTGACAGGCTGAGCGCCAGGCCACGCCGGCCAGTAAAGTATTTTTATATTTATACTCATATTTACTGGGCCGCGCTCAGCCTGTCATTCCGCCGAATCTCTATTCGGTTTATGAACATAATAGCCTGAGGTCCCCAGGTAATACTTATTTATGATATAGGCCATCAAACAACCAACTATAGGAGTAGGTTGGTCGAAATTTAATGATTGATAATGATACGATCAATGCATAGTCTAATAGTCCATATCAATATTTTGTAATTGCAATGTGATCTACATCAATTGATTTAGCTATAGTGTATAGCTGCACTCTGCAGGCATTGCATTTTTATTTAATCTTATTCTTATTGATTTACTGCCCAATTTGGCAAATTGCTGTCAGCTTGTCACATTTCCCGTTTTAAAACTTTATAATTTGTAATTACGGAACGCAACAACATGCATATTTAGTATTTAATTTAGTTTTAGTTTTACTACCCCGCTCTTTTTGGCTATGTTATTGTTAATGTAACGCCGAACGCGGCAAAAATATTAATGTCAATTGTCACGAATAAGACATAACTAAATAATTTACACAAAACGGTGCCCATACCGATACATGACCCTTTAATTAGTAATTACTTTAGGATTAGCATTGTATTCTAATTCACAATTCATATCAAATATTGTTTTGTATCGCGGTCAAATACACTAACACAATACAGCTTGATAATGATTTATTGATATACTTTACTAAACGGCGTTTTATTTTTAATGATGTCGATCCAATTTTAACTGCAATTTGAGGTCTGACCAGTGACAAATTAAATATTTTGCGCAAACTGGTACCGGTCAAACATCAACACTGGTTAAAGTTCGGGAATTAACGGAATGACTTATATTATATGAGCAGGAGCACAACATAAATAGCGAGTTTATTGTTGTTCTCACTTTTCTGTTTTCATACGCATGAAGTTTAAGTTTAACTTTAACTTTAAGTGTACCATGTACACGACGGATTTTAGTTTTACTAATTCACTCGCCCTAAAATTATCACGTGACTTTGGTTTTTAAAGTTTTGCACTTTGCAGCCGAACAATACGGTTTTACATAAAACCTAACCCCAACCCTACCCCCAACCCTAACCCTAACCCCGAAGTTATACATAACCCTAACCACAACCCTAGGCCTAACCCTAACCGGAGCCCTAAAAAATCGAATTCGTGTTTTACTACATACTAGTCTGTCACGTGACCAAAACGCGAACGGTTTTTTGCCCATAACTCTCCAAGGAAGCATTTTACCCTACGTCATGCCGTCATGGGGGTACGTTGATTCGGAATCAGCGTCCATAAATAAACTGAACTAGATCACTTTTATACCTTCAGGGCCTTTTCACAAGAATTATTATTAATTTGGGCGAGCGATTTAGTCATACTCATAGTCATAGTGTGAGCGGTACACGACCTGATTCATTAATTATGGGGCCACTTGTGGTCAAGTTTTATCGCATGTTAAGACAATGTTTTGAAAATGACGCGAAGTACTCACTCAAGTAGGAAGTAGGAAGTATGAAGTAGCTGTTCCACAATTCTTATTCAAAGACCAGTGCCATGCAAATTTCAAAGCTTATTTGTTAACTTAATTGGGTGAGCTTCAGACAATTACCAAAATGTTGGTGGTTATTGTTGCCAGTATGAGTAAATCAAAATGTTGGTCCCTGACCTGCTGGACATGGAGCAGATGTCATGCAGATCAATTGGCATCAAATGCACGAGCATACCTTATCGGACATTAATTGAATGTTTGAGGCCCTAGCGTTCATTTTAATATTTCCGTTAAAATTATGGTGGACGTCCTAAGTTAAAGTAAATGGCACCTTCATTTTAGTGTCCGGTTAAATAATTTTCGATATAATGTATGGCTGGCTGTCACCTGTCAGACCAGCAATAGCATTACCTGTGAGCTGTTCTTCTAAGGTGGATAATACGCGAATAAGCTCGTTTACATTAATAGTACCACCTCATAAAAACACAGACAAATCTGAGTCAACCTTTATTGACATTAACACGTCTTGTGGTCAAATTATGAATATGATTTCACTGAAAAATAGGGATAGAAAAATAAATAATGAATGTTCATTTGTAGAATTTTAGTCTGTAAAATGTTGTTGTTTTGTATACTTGATTTAAAGAAAATTATGAATATGAATATTGAATAATTAGATCTTAACCTGAAGGCATAAAATTATTAGGAAAAGTACAAGTAACTCAAGTAAAATTCAATTTGCTGTAAGATATTGTATTATCTGTTAAATTATAGATTCACACTAAGGAAATTTGAAGTTAAATTGAAAAAAAACAGATTACAATTATTATCAATTATAGACGTAGATTAATATTGAAGTGAACACATTTAGTTCAGTTTCTGTTGCTGTTAGATCTACAGAAAGGGCTTCACAAAATAATAGCACACAAGTTAAATCAAACATCTTCAAAATAAAAACCTCAGCGATTTTGAGATGAGTTTAATCATGAACAGTACCAAATATCAATTGTCACCAATTGGATAAAGTGGGGCCCTTAAATCATTCCAAGTTTAGCTTCCTCTAAACTTGCTCTCTTACATGTTAACACATACTCACATAGAGATATGCTTGCGCTACGAGCCACACCAAAACAGCAGATACCTTAAAATCGGAACGATAATGACACATTGATCATTTTCTGTAGGAGCCTTTAGATTTAGAAACATCAAATAACACTGTCTTTATATATATATACTTCGTACAAATATGATTAGATTTAGAGCTTGGGAGGCGCGTGATTTCTTTTGCAACTTGCGTTACATCTCACAAAATTTGCGTTACATCTCACGCAATTCGCGTTACATCTCACGCAATACGCAAGGCATCTAGCTCAACTCTCGAGATCGAGAACTATTTCATATTTGATGACAAGTCGCGCAAGATCAGATCACTTATAGTCATAATCTAAGTAAAGTGAAAGTTCACGCAAGTTGCTTTACAGATCACAAAAGTTTCATGAGAGGTCACGCAAGTTGCGTTAGAAATCACGCTGGTCGCGTGAGAGCTCACGCAAGTGCTATCACGCGGTAAACCTTACTCACTCGTTATTAATTTAACAAACATGTCGTAGTTTATTTCGCCGTTTGACTCAATGTTACCCTCCGCTAACATCCTTTCTATCTCGTCTTCTGTAAAAGTAATATCAAATTATATTCAAACTAAATCTAAATCATTACTGGTACAATACCAGTAACTGGTACTGTACCAGTGGTGCAGTGGTAATGTACCAGTGGTACAGTGGTACCAGTGGTACAGTGGTACCACAACCCAACACAGGTGCAAATACTAAAGATGCAATAGCATTACCTGTGAGCTGTTCCCCTAAGGTGGATAATATGTGAATAAGCTCGTTTACATTAATAGTCCCATCTCCTTTCTTGTCAAACACTCTGAAATAAGTTATTTTTAACTGTTGGGAGTCCTTCTGCGAATGCCATTGTTTCTTCAACTTCCATATCATAGTGGCTGGATTCAATTCCACCTTTAATTGTTTAAGATTTGAGGCGAAAGTCCCTAAACTTACTTAAAAGCTTGTTTCAGTTCAGTAGCTGGATCGACTTCTAAATCTTTGAAATATTTAGCCAGTACCCCCAGGAAGTCACCAAACTCTACCTCACTCTTTCCCTCCTTCCTCAGCTCTTCCTGTATGCTCTGCACATCTGTCTTACTCGGATTGTGTCCTGGTGGGGTGGAAGTTAAAGTCTGGTTAAAGTCTGGTTAAAGTCTGGTTAAAGTCTGGTTAAAGTCTGGTTAAAGTCTGGTTAAAGTCTGGTTAAAGTCTGGTTAAAGTCTGGTTAAAGTCTGGTTAAAGTCTGGTTAAAGTCTGGTTAAAGTCTGGTTAAAGTCTGGTTAAAGTCTGGTTAAAGTCTGGTTAAAGTCTGGTTAAAGTCTGGTTAAAGTCTGGTTAAAGTCTGGTTAAAGTCTGGTTAAAGTCTGGTTACGTTACAAGTTTAAATACCCCTCCGCAGTCCGCATTCACTCATTCAGGTGTGAATTTTAAACTCGCCCTGTTATGTGGGGTCAATGTTATACAGGATTAATTCGGTGTGACCAACTTTGACTTATCCACTATCGTATAACATACCAAAATTAAAAGTCTGGTTAAAGTCTGGTTAAAGTCTGGTTAAAGTCTGGTTAAAGTCTGGTTAAAGTCTGGTTAAAGTCTGGTTAAAGTCTGGTTAAAGTCTGGTTAAAGTCAGGTTAAAGTCAGGTTAAAGTCTGGTCAAAGTCTGGTCAAAGTCTGGTTAAAGTCTGGTTAAAGTCTGGTTAAAGTCTGGTTAAAGTCTGGTTAAAGTCTGATTAAAGTCTGGGTAAAGTCTGGTTAAAGTCTGGTTAAAGTCTGGTTAAAGTCTGGTTAAAGTCTGGTTAAAGTCTGGTTAAAGTCTGGTTAAAGTCTGGTTAAAGTCTGGTTAAAGTCTGGTTAAAGTCTGGTTAAAGTCTGGTTAAAGTCTGGTTAAAGTCTGGTTAAAGTCTGGTTAAAGTCTGGTTAAAGTCTGGTTAAAGTCTGGTTAAAGTCTGGTTAAAGTCTGGTTAAAGTCTGGTTAAAGTCTGGTTAAAGTCTGGTTAAAGTCTGGTTAAAGTCTGATTAAAGTCTGGTTAAAGTCTGGTTAAAGTCTGGTTAAAGTCTGGTTAAAGTCTGGTTAAAGTCTGGTTAAAGTCTGGTTAAAGTCTGGTTAGTTGTGTTATGTGATTAACAAGTCATTACTCATCGAGGCCATGCCAAGTATCTGCTACTAATTAACTGTAATTTATTATCAAACCTTACAACTGTGGGTCAAATTCATTCTTACTGTTAGAAGTGTAGCGTGCTACAGGAAGTATTAAACGAAACAAGGTAAATACAGTAACAAAGCTTAAGTCCATGAATGAGTTAAGATTTTGTATATTTCTTTCGATGATTAAATCGAGGTTAAAGTTTAAAATTAACAATAAGCATGAAAGAACAGCCAGGCATTTCGGGGAAAAGTAAATTTCACGGTAAATGGAAATAACAGATAAATCAAGGTATAACCTATTACCTATACTTATAGTGTAATGTGATTTCGCACAATAATAGGGAAGGCAAATATGGCCATGAAGATCGGAAATGCGGCAGCTACCACAGAAGCACAGAGGCGGTTTCAGGACCAGTAATCGTGGTTACACAACAACGTTTTCTAAAACCATGGTAGTAACCTTCAACCTTGAAGTAACCTTCAACCTTGTTATGCCTGTGAACCTTGTAAACCTTTCAAACCTTGCAAACCTTACAAACCTTACAAACCTTGTAAACCTTGCAAACCTTGTAAACCTTGCAAACCTTGTAAACCTTGTAAACCTTGCAAACCTTGTAAACCTTGCAAACCTTGTAAACATTGTAAACCTAGTAAACTAGATTTGAACTGACCTAGAGATCTGACGATAGTCCCAATCTCCTCTACAGGAACAGATCCTGAACTCTTCCCATCGAACAGAGCAAACGCCTCCTTAAACTCGTCGAGCTGAGCCTTACTGAAGTTCTCTGCCATGTAATCAGGAACACTGGAGTAGTATGGTGATGACGTCACGTCGTCATAGTGATCAGGTGGTGATGACACGTGATCACGTGGCGACGTTGCATCGTCATTCAACGTCATGGTAACGCACGGTGCACAACAACAATACAAGTTACAAATACAAACTATACACGATTGTATCGGCAGTCAAATGATCGTGACTCAAATAACGATTTGAGGTATAATAGGTGGAGCACTTAGCTCTCTTTCTCGGTCAGGACTAAAACGATATAATTATTAGAGCGGCTCAAGTGACAGCAATTATACTGCTTTTAGTGTTCACGTTGTAACCGTTACAATATATTAGCGGGAAGTGGGAACGTAATCTCTCATCGTGTAGAGACACCTCAATATTGAGATCAGAAACTTAAAGGGTGGAATTCCGTTGACGGTTCTAAAGAAAGACAAGTACAAGGTATGAAAAAATTCAATGACGTTACTAGAACAAACTGAAAATTGTACCTGGCAAAAGTCGTTAAATCATCGGCCGAGACTGCACAATGCATGTAAACAGAAAAGTATTAAAACTGAGTATTGAGACTATAGTTTAAGTTTAAGTTAAAGCAGTAGGTTCCATACTTTAATATAACCATAAATATAGCTAGTATCTGCATTACAAAACTAGCCGCGGGGGAGTTAAATCTCAGGTTATTTGCAAACCAAAAACAATGGTTTATATCAGCCATTGTTCGGGATAGATATAATACTCAGCACTGACTGACGGGTTTATATCTTGTAACCAAAGATACTGTGAGTATATAAACAATTTACACGTAGGCTAGGCGATACAATGAACAGGCTCGAGAATACTGAAGGCTATGTGACAGACTTGATTGACTTTTCTAGACCTTTTGTTGAACGGATCACAAGAACACCCAGGCTAAAGATAACCCAAGTTCCAAAGTACACGGATGACTTTAAGTAACACCCATAGTAGTTCTGTCCACCTAGTATATAGTACATTGGTACACAGTACATTGCACTCTACAGACTTCCCTCACAAAGTAACAACAGTATAATGCGTAACTACACAAGCTGCATAAATCCATCTACCTACTATATCGTGTGCCGTGTAGTGTGCCGTGTAAATCGTAACTATGCAAATGGAATGGAAGTTGAGAGCCAGCAAGCTTGAATATCAATACGGAAAACAAACAACTACACGCTAGCTGACTTCGTGAACTGCTGCAGAGTTGTTATTGGTACGAATAACAAGAAGAAATGTAAAATTACAAAATATTCAAAGCCCTATTTCTCAATGCTCATTCAAGCGATTGTCAAGATTTACAATCATTTTCAAAAGGCGCCGTTGTCAAAGAGCTTGATTGAAAATTTACTTGCACGCCAGCTAAAAATAATACCTGTCGGACAATCTCCCGGTGTGATCATTTACTAATTACACTACTAATTAAACATAATCAGTAACATATAATTAATAATTAGCATACGGAAGTGATGTTAATTATAACTGAAACTACACCCACAGAAATTAACCTTAATACTCGAACAAAATATTCATACCAATGAACTCGAAATCTATCTAAAACACATGTAATCGAAACCATGTGCGACAAAGTACAACATAGAATTGTCCACACAGAAGTTACGTTTCTGAAACAATAATTAAACGCCGTTGCATTTTACAGCTGATAGTGTGATGGCACTAGGCTTAGAAGCGTTCCCGGTCAGACTGAAACACCAGCTATCTTTGTTATCTCAGTCTGACGGGACTGCCGCTGAGCATGCTGATATTTCGTTACCATGGTTACCGCAAACGTCTGCAGATCACAATCCTAACAATCAGAAATGCACCCTCACAAACTTTTGGTAACTTGCACTGAGAACATACGACATAGTACATTCCACGTACTATAACATAGTACATACCACGTACTATAACACAGAATAGTATCCAAAATCAAATGGAGACTTGGTGTACAGCACTACTGTGCATTAAATTATACAGCGCATACAGCCTTGTACACTATTAGCCCTGGTATGTATAATTATAGTACGTGCATTTGTAGTATAATTGTAGTGTGTATTTGTACGGCTATAATTGGGTAATCTTGCACGTGACAGCTGGTAATTTGACACATGACAGTTTCAAATTAGGGGAAATTGGCGGAAGATAAACAGTAGTGTTGGTCGAATAGCAGCTATGATGAATATGGATCTGCCCATCCTACGGTCGGATGTTTACAAACATGTTAATTTAATGATAAACTTCATGACAAGTTCCATGTAGCCCACGATATTTATTGTTAGACCAGTCCATAGTCCTTCACTGGAACTAAAGCTCTTCACTGTTCAGAAACAATCCATCAGATCTCACTAGATCCTCTGTAAGTTATGATATATAGACTTATTTACTTACAATAAGTCTAAGCCCAATTGTCGACGATCTCTACAATGCTACAATGTACCGTATATTATATGAAACTTGAAAGCTGAACTGCAATTGGGAAATTGATACAATCTGTCTTGGAGATGACAGTTAGACCGCATTGTCACGCCTCAATAAGTCAATGCTCGCACTATCATAAAATGTAATATTACCTTATATGGTAGTATTACTATATGGTAATATTACCTGGTTATATTTGTATAACTATAGTCAAATAGGATAAGAAATGTTCAGACTTACGGCCAAATAACCAATGATCGTCAATTTCAAGAGACTCACACAAGATTAATCTAAACAGTATCTAGAAAATGAGTCACAATACAGATATACCTTCTCCTCCTCCTCCTATTAACTCAGAACAAAGATGGGCAATAAAGCTGTTAGAGAGCGTTCACATATTACGTCAGCAGCCGAGGGAGTAGGTATTGGGATACGTATCGAGAATTAATCGGACCGAAAATGAACGAAATTTTACCGGCGAAAAAGCAGTCCGGTCACGTACCAGAAAAGTAAACCGCCACCTTATGGCAACAAGTAATTTATAATTATATTTCAAGTGCAATATCCGGATATCCCCCACGCGGAGTGATCGTAGTCTCATTACTGATTACTTATTGCACTTCTCCTTGTGAGAGAAGAGGTCTGAACAAACAACAGAACAATCAAATTAGCGAAATACTGACTCTGGTATTTTTAATATTTGTAATATTTTCGAAGAGGTGGCCCTTAAATTTTGTCTGAAAAATGAGCTGTGAAGACTGTAGAAAGTTCTGCAATAGGAGTGGCTTGCAAGTTGCAACATGTTTACAACGGCCACAAACGGAACACGAAAAAGCAATATACGGATTATGAAGCAACAATATTTTATAGCGAAAATTGAATTGCAGCATATGCAGGAACGGCGGATGTCTTGCTAGAAAATTAGAAATTCATCATGTTGACTTATAATCGTTAGATGAAGTTTCGATTGTTGTAACGTTCACGACTTATTAACAAAGCAATCACGATAGGTAGTAGACATTTCAGCAAAACAAAACGGCACATTTTCCATATGTTCGACCGATCAGCAGCGAACAGAAGTGGATATTTAATTAAAAAGTTAAAACTCAAAGAAAAGCAGCTAAGTAAAATATGCCGAACAGAGGCTATAGCACATAACCGTGTTATTAATCCAGTAGGAACTGAATATATAAGGGGACCCGGGACGGAGACTTCAGAGTACACACACACTCACCACTCTAAACAGTACCAGTTACAAACTAATGAAACATGAACCAGTTCAGTTGTTATGTATGAACTGAAAATAGAGCAGTGAATCTGCCCTACGAGTACATTTTCTAAGTGAGAGTACACAACTATTGAACTATACCCACTGTCTGATGAGCGTCAAGAAGTAGAACGGGTGAAACATAATAAACTAGTGGTGGTGAAACTAGATCCGGGCTGACACCGTATCTAGGGTGTCATGTTACAGGACTGTCATCGGTTCTGCCCGGCCGGGAGTTACTCGCATTCCAGTACGAGACCACAGAATACTGGGGAGAGACCACAGAATACTGGGGAGAGACCACAGAATACTGGGGAGAGACCACAGAATACTGGGGAGAGACCACAGAATACTGGGGAGAGACCAAAGAATACTGGGGAGAGACCACAGAATACTGGGGAGAGACCACAGAATACTGGGGAGAGACCACAGAATACTGGGGAGAGACCACAGAATACTGGGGAGAGACCACAGAATACTGGGGAGAGACCACAGAATACTGGGGAGAGACCACAGAATACAGGGGAGAGACCACAGAATACTGGGGAGAGACCACAGAATACTGGGGAGAGACCACAGAATACTGGGGAGAGACCACAGAATACTGGGGAGAGACCACAGAATACTGGGGAAAGACCACAGAATACTGGGGAGACCACAGAATACTGGGGAGAGTTCAAGGTTTGTTGAGTTGCTGAGAATGGCATGTTGGGTTTGTAAGTAAGAGTGTGAGAGTTTTCAGCACTTTGCGGAGGATTGCAGAGAGCAGCTGTATGAATAACTACTCATTGCTGCCTAACGTAATATGCGCTATATGTATCTTATCTACTAGTATAAACACCTTGCATCACAGTCAGTATATTCAGATATATCAACAAGTTGAACTTCACATCAATTATTCAGAATTATTCATGCTGGATCATTTTGAGGATATTAAGCAGCATATTTAAGAAATTTGGCATATTTTGTTCAATAACCTAACATATTTAGCATATCTAATTTCATCATGTAAGGACAAGACTACAGTCTTGTGTCTATAACAGTCGACAAACATCAAGAATTCAGCTGCGGACGTGGTAGTACGGGTTTTCAAGAGGTTTTATGTTTTGATACAAGAGTCATGAAAAATAGGATGTTGTCTGATGGACCATAAACAGCAGCTTCAAGTCATAATCCATCTAAATACGGTTTAAGTCCGGATGCCCAATTTTAGACGCAAAACAACAACCACCCTCTGTTTAGGACCGGGAACTGTGCCCCACCAGACACGAACTTCATCAATTTGCAAGCAACCCTGCAAGTTCTGTAAATTACCAATTTTTTGTGTTTTTTACAACAACCGAATCACTCCGAATGCTGTACGTATTGAAGCTAGTTTCCTCGAATGAGAAATCTTGGTATCATTTAATGACGCCTCCTGGCTCCTCCCGTAAATAACCATACGTAAACTTGTCCCACGTTGCCTGATCCATCATCTCATCTGAGAAACAGATGGGGTGCATGCGAAGCCGTATACCACGTGACCACTCGACACTCGCAGCATGCTCGTTTGTTTACCAATGCAACAATACATTCTACAGGTACGTGTTTTGACTGACATTAAATTACGTACACTCCTGGA